GGCAATAGACACAAATGTGTCTAGTGTTGTCGCCTCAACTGTTCCTTTTGAAAGATGGTTCCAGTCCCTGATTGTCTTGGGCAGGAATGAGCAGCTCCTATACTGGCTTCTTGCTGGTATGAGCCTGTCCAATGGTGACCAGCCTAGTGTTTCTAGCATGCTGCCAACACTAGAGGTATTCCTGTAGCGGTCTAGGACAAAATGTGCTGCTCGTCGCTGGACCGCCTCCAACCTGTCAATGCTCTTCTGGGTAAATGGGTCCCAGACTGAAGATGCATAATCTAAAATCGGACGGATAAAGGCTTTATATGCTCTTTCTTTCACACAGGAGTTGCCAATCTTTAGATTTCGCCTTAAGAACCCCAATGCTTGGTTTGCTTGGTTACATACATTGTTAATATGCTCGTCCCAGTGGACCTCTCTTTGAATGGTAACACCCAGGTACTTTACGGAGGACACTTGCTCAAGAATATGGCCGTGCAGTTTGTATTGGTAGTGTAGAGGAGTACAACTTCTAGAGATTGATAGTGTCTGGCACTTGGCAGGATGAAATTCCACTTATTCCCCACTGCTGCCATCTTGGTTGCCATGACCAGTCACAGGTCACAATTCAATATGCAAAAAAAAAACACATATCTGCCAATATGATCTGCTAAAATGGGGACAGAATCTGCTCGTTTAGCTATTTACAGAGAGAAACAAAAATAGGAACAAAGAGTTAAAATTTAATTTCAGCCGGTACATAAATTTCGTGGCAAACGAAGCTACTTTATTTTTATTTTACCCTACCCTTATAGTAGATATGTGGCAAGAAATGTCAACGACCTGCGGTGGTGCCCTCCCTCCCCTCCCCACTAATTTCATCAGGTACATGCTCTCTCCCTAAGAAAAATGAAGCAAAACAATGCAAAATAATTTTAAAATAATGAAAACAAAAATTACATAGAAAAAACTTTTACACACTTTATTTCCACTTCCACCTAAAAGAAAATTTAAAAGGTGTCAGGAAATCAATAAAATACTATACCCATTTTCCGAAATGCCAGAAAATTTTTATTTTTTAATTAACCAACCAATGAATTTTTAATTTAAAACATTTCATCATCACATTAAATAATAAAAGTTAACTCTAATAACAATCCATGAATAAACAAAGGGGAGAGATTACCACACAGCAACTCATCATGGCAGGAATCGCAGAATTGGACCCAAACTATTGAAATAAATAAAAAATTATTGAAATGGCCCATGGTGTCTTTAAGGGTCTTGTCAGTTTCATTACCAGTAGTCATTAGGCCTAAGGTAATCTACCACTTCAGCATTGCTATTTAAAAAATGTATTTTTCGCTTCTGTAGTACTATTTTACACAAGATATCAGTAGACCGTGAAGAGAGGACCACTGGGTTTTCACTGGGATTAGAAGAGAGGGTGGGCACTGTTTCTTGTTGAAGTGCCAGACGAACATGCCATCATTTTACAGGAGTGCATAAAGATATATATATTCTACTTGGTTCACATATTGTCATTTTCTCTGGTGGATGGTAGGCTTAGACAAACACAAATCAAATCACACACTGAATCTGCGAACACTCTGTTGTGGTCCATCAACAAAACTTTGTTGATCCAAATGTCGCTGTTACAGGTGACCACACACAGAATGTAGAAAATATGTGGCTAAGCACAAACTGAAAAGACAGTTTGGCACAAGCCCACTGTTCAGTTTGGCACCAACCGCACTCTTATCACTTCTTATTCCATTCATCGTTATGCTGGGAAGAGGGGAACTAGGATCAACTGAAACTCTGATTGCTTCCATATATACAGTCGAACCCGGTTATGTCAACGGCCTCAGGGTTTGCCAAAAAGAGTTGAGATAACCGAAAACCAATATGGCGGCAATATATTAACATGTGCTTTAAATTTATTTATGTCCACGATGTGTGTTTTTAAATGAGAATGTACATGCACATGTTTTGGGAGTTTTTTTTACACAACATCTTTACCGCGATTTGTTTGATGAAGCGATCGGCATGCTATAAAAAGGTACATACATGTTTGCTAACAACACAAGGCATATGTGGCGTGCCACTTTCCTGGATTATCCGGGAATTCCGGATTTGTGAGGCTAAATATTTTTTAGCTCCGGATTCACGAGTTTTCATTTTCTCTCGCTCCAGATTTGCCAGTTTAGTTTATTCAAATACGGATTCTCGGTTTTTAAAAAAAAAATCAAAATGTAAGAACGCGTGAAAGCCTATAAAGCGACAAGGGGGTTCGGTATAAATAGAACAGGTACTACGACCTCTCTGTTTTGTTTGCAAGCCTCTCACTCCTCGCTTCCTGCTGTGTCAAATTAATTGGGCGGACAACGATGTTGTCATTTCATTTCAATTACTACAGTTTGAAGTAGGCACGTTTCTGTTGTTTTTAATTTTCAAAAGCCGGCAATTGGTCATGGGCAGAGGTGTAGCAAAGGGGGTGCAGGGGGGGGGGACAGATGTCCCCGGGCGCCAGGTATTTAGGGGCGCCAAAATGTGCTTTGATGTTATTTTATTGATGAAAATAATTGGTTTGAGAGTTGAAAAAAAGGAAAAGGGGCGCTTTAAAATGGATCTTGTCCCCGGGCGCGAATCTTGTCCCCGGGCACCAAACACCCTTGCTACGCCACTGGTCATGGGGGTCGAGAAAACTAAGGTTAAGTGGCAAATTTGGCCGCCTTTTGTGCTTGAGATATTAGGGTTCGCCAACATAAAAGAATTGACATAATCGAGGAGAAAAGAGAGAATTTGGCGGTTCCACTTAAAAAACTTTGACATTACCGGGTTGGCGATTTAACCGAGTTTGAGATAAGTGAGTTTGACTGTAAATACATTTTCATACATTAACCTTCTTGGGATGGCTGGGCTGATCTATTGGCCCGGGGTGGAATGGGGAAAAAGATGAAAGGCTGATCTATCAGCCCAATAATTCAAGCTTCAAGATTGGCTGGCTGTCCTTTGTACCAGCTAATCATATAGTTTCTTGCTCATCTTGCCATTTTATTAGCAGCTTCCATTGATATTACATGGTGTTCTGTCATTTATATAATTTTTTTTGTACCTAGTGACCCCTAAAAATGCTTTAAAAAATATGTGAATTTGAAATATGTCAAAAGGCATAACCATCTCCTGAGGAATATTTTATGTATTTTTTCACACTGCATCTCATTCAAATATGGGTAAGGACTTATTTAGGCTTCAACAATAATAAATTTAATAAAATTCTGCAAGTAAGACATGTTTATTCTAAGGTTTAAATAATTGCATGCATGAATTATGCAAATCAGGATATATAATTTGCATAATTGATGAGATTTCAGTTTGATTCATAAATATTGTATTAGTTCATTCAATTCCCTACAAGAATATATATAGTTTTATATTTGTAAAGTAGTTAGTTTATTTTGTTATAATTTTCTTTTGCAATATGAATGCTGAGCTTGTAAAAAGGGCTCCAGCTTCTAAAAAGGGCTCCATCTTGGCACCAACACTCTAAAAAGTCTCAGTCTCAAAAGGGTTAAATTGTTCTAGTTTTAAAAATGTTGTCTTGATAAAAATATTTATCTATATGCTGAAATGAATATGCACAATGTTATCAAACAAAATTTTAAAATTTCCATTTATTTGGATTGATAAAAGATTCTAATTCATCAATTAAAGAATAACCTGTAAAATAGCATTTCAGACCCGAAGAAACATGATTTTTTTAATATCTGATGCTGAAGTGGTAGATTACTCTAACATCTATTTAAATAACCATGCATCTTTTTTTCAGTGAGCAATGTTGATAAATTATTCTGATAATTTCTATTCATTTTTAACAAAAGTCAAACAAGTTTTTCCTAATTAGGTACGGTAATTAAGTAAATTAACAATTTCAAAAAAATATCATAGTAGTACAGTATTATAATTATAGTGCAAAATTTAAATCTAACAGTGAAGCCATAATCAACTTTATATCTTTAGTCATTTTTGTGCTATGATTTTTTAAAATACAAGTGTGTTTTTCCTTTTTTACCAAGGACAGCGTCTCCAAATTCTGTAAACCAATTCCGCTGTTTGCACCACATACTATAACTCTTGTTTTAATGATAATTTTATATCACTTTATTTGAGGATTAATAATGTACCCGGTACTTAAAGTTCTAATTTTAAAAGTAATTTTAAAAATATTTTGCAAATATAAATAAACTAGCTGGGGCAGTGTAACAACATTGCACGTGTAAAAAAACAGGAGGAGCAGCATAGGCACCAAAAGGACACATTCGTTACCTACCCATAAATTTTGGGAACCACTGTGCTCAAAACAATGGGGAAAATTAAAGCTTTCCCTAACAAATGGTTAATGGTGTTTGCACAAGGAAAACGCTTATGATGATGATTGAATACTTTTACTGGGAAATCTCAGTAAGGACTGTGTTGAAGAGCGCAGATTCTGTAAGGATACATGTTTAGAAATCAGTTATTGAAGATATTCAGGTGCAGAGCCTTCTATACAGCTATACGCCAGGGACAGAATTTAGAGGTCGATGTGCTCACTCACAGGAAGTCTGTGGAGATCATTAAGAACTGGGGTGATGTGGTCACATTTCTTTATATGCAATACAATGCGTGCTTCAGTATTTTGTACCCTCTGGAGTCATTGAATTTGGTTTTGAGGTAAACCCCACAAACAACTATTACAGTAATCTAATCTTGATTGCATAGAGTGACTGCTACAGCATTGGCAGTTCTCTTATGAAGGAAACTCTTAGAATTGTACTGTATTCTGGGGCAAATTATGTTAATTTTTATAATATGGACTATACCGAGTTTTTAAACCTCAAATTAAAATATTTTTTGGTTAAGTACCTTCTAAATTCATTCTAAAACACAAGTTATCAAATATGTTGATGTATATAGTGGTAATAATGGAATATTTCCTAAGTATCTGCGTCTTCCGCCATTAAAAAGGGGCGTGCTCACTTCCTTATTATAAATGGTCTATGGAACCTTTGCATAAAGGCGTCTACGCTGAGGAGCATGGCAAAAGCATTTCATGACCTAGCACTATGAAATTTTGTACATTATACATCACTTTATATTGCTTACACAGAAGTAGTATGAAAGACATAATTTGACCAAATCTTTATATGCACCAATGCCTTATATTAATACAGGATTTTCCAAAGTTTAAGTCGATACAACTCAGTGGGAATGTAGGGCAAGATGTCTTTCAATTTCAATGTGAAAGGGCGGGGAGTCAGAACTTAATTATGGGTCAAAGGGACTTCTGTATTAATAAAATTACACTCACATGAAAACTCTGATTCAAATTGCACAGATGCCCTTTTCCAATTCAAATTAAGTAATCGTCTCCCTTGTGTTACAAAGTACCTGTTATCTTAATTTTTAAGTGTTTATATTTTATATGTTGGTCATGTCGAAAATGTTGCAATATTATTATTTTTTTTGTTGAGCAACACAAAAGTAAGACTTGAGACTGAGTATCCGATAAAATTGATTGAATCAAGATAAAGAGGCATGGAAATTACAAACGGGGTTTCCAGATAATTTATCCTTTCTATTCCCAGGGTCCCTGCAAACAAAGGTCTCCAAATCTGCAAAGAGTATTAAATATGTTTATAATTTATAGGCCTATTATTCTGATAGCCTTTATCAGAATATGTCTAGTATTTTTTTCCTGGTCCACTGAAATACCAAAATATCCAGTTCCTTACATCTGCAAACCAATTGCAGGATTGATTTGTCATATTAATTAGATGGGCAAGTCACTAGGTCTAGTTCCTTCTTTCAGTTTTTGTATTTCAAACAATTGCAAGTAAGTAGTTTAGTTACTGCTAAAAAATATGTTGACCTCGTTGTTGTTGATGACCAGATGGATTTCTTTTTTTACTTTCAGATATGCTAAAGGTTTTGGTTTGGTAGAAATGATTTTCTCCAATACAAGTATTTTAAATCAGCCAAATACTGTTTATGGGATGGCCTACTATACTTTCCAAGCCACACTTGGTAAATAAAGTAAATTATTTGATCAGTGGAGCAATCTGTTTGAACTATTTTTATGAACAGAAAACTGAGTCCACACAATTCCAGTAATTTCTCATTAATCATTAGTAATTGAAATAGAAAAAAATATTTAATTAATTTAGCTCAAATTTTTGTTAAATGTGTCTCAAGATAGTAAATGAATCCCAAGGACGAAACTTTTGTGTTTGTGGTAATATTTTTTGAAATGATTATAGTGCCTGGCCAAACATATGTACAGATCAAGAAATAAATTTAGTATTTAAAAAAAATTTAAAACACAGAACGGAATCCACTAAAAATGATTACAATTTTTTTTTTTTAAATTTTATATTTCATAACAAATTTAACATCTAAACTATTAATATTGTTACAAAGATCTGGGCCTATAATATTTTAATTGAGAATCTATATTTCCGATATATAGATGGATGTGACTTGTGAAGAATTTCTTATAAATAGAAGTTCCCTTTCTTTGAAAATTCCTGTAGCACTTTGAATAAACTTTTATCTTAACTAACATGAAAGAAAATCATATTTTGCATTTAAAATTTAAAAAAATAAAAAATCTTCTTTTAAAATTTTACAGCTTTGAATCCCTCATCTTCAACAGCAGTGGTTCAGACAGTTTTCAGTGTTGTTGCCAATATAGGCTCTGTTTACCTTGGATATATTTTGTTCTACATTATCAGAGACTTCTGCATTGTATGTGTTTCAACATATTTAGTTAACTTTCTCATGCTTATAGTGATATTGATTAAACTGAAAAATGCAGCATCAGAAGACATTAAAAAAAGTGTGAAGAAGAGAAAATAAATTGCTGTTTAAAAAAAAACAAATAGTCATGTGCTCTTGTGATTACTGATTACATTTTAATAATAATAATTTAGATGTGCCTTTAAAAACTTAAACATTTTAAAACCCATTTACATTCTTCAATATTTTTTGTCATATGTGTATTATCTGCGCTCAAAAGCACATGGCATAATATTGTTTAATTTGATGTAGAAGAAAACACAAATACATGTATATTCAGTTCCCTTTGAACCCAGATTTTTAAAAGTTAATTTTTTTTTTTTTGTATACCGGTATTTTAAAAAAAAATATTTTTTTAAGAGGGTTACTTTTCTGTAATATGAAACTCTTCTGCTAATTTGTTTAAATTTTAAAGGCATTTAAATAGAAAAACAAAAATTAATAAGATCTATCAGAGTGAAGAAGGTTTTTTTAAATTCAACTTTACTTGTCCTCGTTGAATATAATTTGTTTAGACTGAAAAGGGTTAAGTAATAAATTGTCTTAAAATATGTTTTAAAGAATAACAAGGTCTGTGTTTTTTAATCTTCACCTTATCTTAGAACTATTGATAAAATAACCTGCTCCAATCGTGCTTTTGCATGCACCTAATCCAGATGTTTTTAGTGACCTGTAGTAAATAGTTTGAGTCAATTTAAGCTGGTCTCTACATTTTGAGTTCCTTTTCATTTATGATAATGTTAATTACATTAATAGCCATTGTCATTTTTTGTTGTTGTTTTTTGGTACCAGGCAGGTATCACAGAAAATGTAAAGTGTGCTGCTGTTTGAAATGTTATTATACATTAACCTCAGTTACTTTTCTTTTATGTTAGTTTAAAATTTATATAAAGGAGATAACAGTAGATTTCTGTGAAAAAGGTCAGGTAGAATAATATAAAAGTCAATATAAAGTTAACTTTAAAAGTTCAATTGGATTACATTTTGCATTTTGAAATTCAAAAGCTACATCCCCTTATATATTTGCACAAAGCAAGCCAAGAAATTTGTCTGTTTTTAAATTCATTGTTTTCAAAATTGTATGTGAAGATTTTTTGTGTGTAATATATCAAAACCTGTCTGCTCTTGATGAATGACACAAAAGTCATACAAGATGACAGACATAAATCTGTGCTGCTAGAAGTATTTAAAAATCTGTGCAGATGATTAACTTTCATAAACAATATAGTAAATATAACTTAAACATTCAGGTCCTATAGCTAGGATGTAAGATTTGGGACAAAAGTGTTTGTGGGGAGTTTAGTAGCAGTGATATTGCTTAGCTAGAACTGATCAATGGAACATTCATTATACAGACCTTTTTACTCTTACGATTTTGGCGTACAATGTATGATTTTGAGGTATATACATTATTTATACTGAATGTTTATTTTTTACTACTAAGCTAAAATATTGAACGATTTTGTGATGATATTTTAAGAGTTTGGGGGTAAACAGGTGTGATTATAGTACCAAAGCTGCCGAGCAGCAAAAAAAAAAAGTCTTTAATTCAAGGTCTAAAACTGTGTAACCAGCGTCTGATGACTGAAAATAACAGTGGAAGAGATGATGAAATGATGAAATCACAAAATTATGTTTTGCTCATCCTTTTAACACTGTTGAATTGAGGAGAAAATTTTTTTGTACCCCTTTTTTGGTCATATTGTTAGCAATCTCACTAGCATAGCATCTTAAGAAAACTTATCTAGATGTAATAATAACTGAAGTTTTTTCATAGGATTTCAAAGATTCCTTGAAACAGCCAGTTTAAAATATGCAGTCTTTAATTACTTTGTTTGAATTATTCAATGAAGATTTATATTTAAACAAATACACATAAACTTTGTTGAATTGGACCCAAGTGCTTTTCTGGGGCATTCTGATACAGGAACGAAGCGGTTTACTGATCCACTCTACTATAGGAATAGCAGCCAAAAGAAATACTATTGCAGTTTTTTCATATTTGTTTATATTTTTCCTTTAACTTTAAGGGAAAGTTGATTGTACATAACCATGTTCTCTATCTCATTACAGTGTAAGCAAATTAAAATAATAATTATATTCAGTATCTGTTAATTTGATCTTGTTTTATTGTGATATTCATGAAGCATACCATGAAACTTTTACTCAAGATCAGGCCACTGTTAGAAAGGAAATGAAAGTTTATTACTGCATTTTAAATGTTAACAAATTTACTGCTGTATAAGTGTGATCGGGGAATTTCTTCTGTGCATGAAATTGCATGTACTCTATCATGTCATATTTTATGAACACATTGTTATAATTTTCATAGTTAAAGTATTGTTGTAATCCACAAAGTTAGGGTATTGCCATGCTCTATAATTTAAGGCATTGACATTATAAAAAAATTAAGTTAAGGCATTGTCAAAATCCAAAAAGTTAGGGTATTTTTTTTCACAAAGACCAACAGGCTTTGTTATGCAGAGATCTCTTTTTTCCACCTGAAATAGACAATATGGTCTACTTACTTCCTCTTTAATGTGGATTGCAATTATTTAGAATTAAACAGTCTTTTTTTAGTTCTATGGTTTCATAAGTTATACTATAGGTTGATGTTGAACCACTCACATTGTTAAGTTCTATGTACCAGCAAGTCTTATACATTTTGAATATCTTCTATTGCTATGTTATAATATGTAAGACTTGTAATTTGAATACTCCCATAGTTATTTGTAACACTTCTCATTTTATTTTACAATAAATGTCAAGAGAAATAAATGAATTTTCACTAACATCTGCTTATCATATTTTCATCGTTATTGGTAAAATGTAATTGTTGCTGTAATTGTCTGACATATCTGCTCTTATGTAATGTTATGGCTTCATCAAAACTAAACTGGTGCCGCTGGTAAGTTCACATTGCCCTAGTTGGCCAATAAAATTTAAATTTTTTTTAGAGATTACTATTTGGAACCAAGTACAAATGGTTACATCGCCGCAAGAAGTTCCATTTTTTTTTTACTTAACCTTTTAAGTGTTAAGAAAACCACTTTCTTTGAAAATAATTAAATTGTAAAGGTAATTTATTGTAATGCATATTGACCTCTGGCGACAATAATGGAAATTTCTTGAGTTGTTTACTGTGCTCTGTTCTTTGTGATATTTTCATTTCTACTGTTAGCTGAAGAAGGCTTTATGCCGAAACGTCCTTATCTTTTTGTCCTGTTCTCTAATTCAAGCTTCCACATACCTCGGTTTGCTATTTCATTCATTTACCAGGCTTGAATGCAGACCTTTAATTTATAACACCAATTAACAGTTATCATTGTCTGTTTTTATTCTCTTCAAAGTTATCTCTGAATACCTCCTTCAAAATGACAAGATGATTTGAAACACACACAAAAAATCTCTGAACAACTTTTACCAATAGCAATGAGGCCCATGGGAGGATACATAGAAGATCTGACTTGTATTGTGTACACCAAATGCTAGAAAATTACTTTATGTACAGTTTACACATTCATTACATGACAAAACCAGTGGGTGACTTGAACTTTTCCTTCTCCTCACAGGACTAAAAGTGTTCATGAAGTCCGAAGTCCTCTATATTTTCAGATACACACTTAAATATGAATTCAAGCACGTCTGGAAATTGTTAGAGGAATTAAGTATAAAATAAATAATTGCACAGATGAGCAAGGTTCCACTTTAGCACAGCACACAATATGACATTAAAAAAAAAAAGTAATAGGGATTGTAAGCAGCATACAAAAATTTTATGTTTGCCTTTTAAATAAAATTTTAAAATTAAAAAAAAAATATTTATATATATAAAAAAAAAAAAAAAAANTAATAGAATGATGCGAATGTGTCTTATCAAAAAGAACAAAGATGACACATTCTTATCTCAGCCTCTGTTCAAGACGACCTTTGTCCTACCTGCAGATTTGGATCCGATCAAAACCAACAACACTTTTGGCTCGACACACTTATATCAATGGTGCTAGCCATTTTTTGTACACAATGATTGTGTTTGTGTGTGTGTGGGGGGGGGGGGGGGGGGAAATAAACAAAATCTGGTCCTTTCTTTTAAAAAAAGAATTTTTTAAAGTTTCAAGCTTTTAAGAAGTAAACATTTGATGGAAATATCTAACAATTAAATTGAACATTTTTTTCCATTTTAAAAAAATACATGATTCATAAAATCGAGACAAATTATGGAAATGAAAAGTGCAATTCATATTATGGAAATACATGGGGAAATATTTTAAAAAAAGGATATACCACCAATGTCAGACAAATAAGAGTAATGTGTATTCACATTTCACTAAAGAGCGGAAAGAACACTAATATGCCCAAGGTCCATACTGTGAAAAGTTAAGAACCAGACAAAAAATATTTTTATTCAAGGTCCATGATGGAAATAATCATCACAATACAAAAAATTTTGCATATTTATACAAGAATTTATGAAACCCAAACTTTAAAAATGCATTCTCAAGCCACAAAAGACAGAAAAAAACTGATTTAAAAAATCCTTGCCAAACATGAATATTTCAAGTCATTTATTTCTTTTTTTTTTAAACTCTAAATAATAGTAAGTGCAATATGTAACAATTTCTTTGAAAAGTTTATCAAGCTAATCTTTTTGTGAACTATATCATCTGACCTCACGCAAGTTGTCACATGATGATCATGTGATAGTTAGTCATGGCTGGTCACATGTTTGATCACATGGCACAAGAAATGTTTCTAGCCCCAGAAGAGTCACAAGGGGGGTAAAAAAATAAAAGCATGTCATTTAAACCAAGGGAGATAATAAAGATGAAGAAACAAATTTCTACAATTTTTGCATTTGTTTGAATTACAACAAATCTTGGCCATGCCTTTACCCCACTATTTGAGTAGATAATGATGACTCTGTCAATAGAAGCAATAAGGTCTTACCTCAGTTGAAGTAATTATGTCATGAGTAGCAAACTTTTTTTTATCAAGTTTACATCGATAAAAAATAATTAAAAAAGGTGCTTGATGCAGCCATAAATAAAAATGAGCAATTTTGGAAAGACTGGTTGATATTGAACATTGGGATAATGGTGGAGAAGATGTGCACATAAATTAAGACTTCTAATGAAAATAATTTCTGATGTCTCAAAAACTTACTGTTGCACAGTATTCAAGGAAAAAAATGTTCTGGTTTAAATTCTGTTCAGCTTGACTGGTCAAAACATAAGACTCCATCGTTATTTTTTTAACCAGAGCCCTGCTCCATTTCCATGGAGCCTGATAATGTACCTTGATTAGGCTCCCACATGCCCCCAGCACCAGCACTGTCTTCTCCTGGGACAGGTGCTCCGACCTCCAGGAACCTCCCATCTCCGAGGAGCATATCATCAATATCACTTTTACTGTCCAACACACTATTGTTCACAACATTAACCCCATCCACTAAAATGCTGACATCAACTGCCATTTCCTCCACCTCCCCATCTGGCCCACCTTGGTTGCATTCTTGTTGAACAACAGAGCCATCGAGATGAACCCGGAGAGGAGTCAGTGGAGAAGGGAGGTTACTATTATTTCCCGATAGCTCTGCATCAGGGTCCACCTTGACCTTCCTGGGTCGGACCATCCAAGGATTGTTCTCCTTTGTTCTGTCAACCTGTTTGATAAAGTCCTCCTTGAACTCGTTCATGTCAGCTTGGAGCTGAAGAGCTTCAGCCATAACCTTTTCTTGGCGTTGGCGTAACTCGGCGAGCTCTCTGAGATTTTCGTACATTAATTGCAGGCCTTTACAAAGCTGTTCATTTCCTGAGCCCGGTGGAACAGCTTCCCCAGACATATATCTGTCAAAGTCTGTTTGGCTAATGTTCAGAGATTCTGCATTAATGCCCTCTACAAATGAAACTGCACAGCACTGAAAAAAATAATTTTAAATGACAAATTACGGGTACTCTGAAACAAAATAATTTTATAAAATAAGTTTTTTTCTCTGCAATACAAAATATAAGGTTATCTTTTCAAACAATTTACAAAAAAATAATACTGGTGATAGGTGGATAACAATACGCCAAAATGTAATATTTAGATAACAAATATCAACAAATACTAAATGCTATGCTGTCTCAAGTCAACAGTTCAAAGTAAGTCATTCAAAGCAATGTCACAAAAAGTACATCAATTTTCTTTTAAACAACCTTTTGTTTACTTTTATTTATTATATAAATCTGTTTTGTGTAGTTTTAAATTTTGTTCAATGAATTTTTTTTTCAAAAATTGTCTGTCTATTGACATTATAGAAATTTAAGTCCAGTATCTCAAAGTTTGACTTAAAATACTCTCTTGTCAGATAGCTTGTAAGGTTGTTACCATTTTTCTCACCAGATTAGTAAAGTAATATCCCTCTTCACCGCTCATGAGACGAGTCGGGTTGGCAAACCTTGTAATGTACTGAATGTTTGACTGGAGTAAAGGGGGATTCGCCTTCAGGACAATGTATATGAGAGCAGGCAGAAACTCATCAGCACTGGCTGGCCCCTGCTTGGACTGACGTAGAACCTCAAAGATATGCTTGCTGCAGCTGACAACACACTGCAGTTTGTCTTGCGTTGCACGTTTAGAGTCAAGCTCTATGATGTCTGGATAGAAAAAAGATTTTTAAAAAGTAAGTGAAAGCAGATTCAAAAATAATTGTAGCTTGAAATCTGTGCAGAGTAGACTCTATGATGATGGGGGAAAAATAACAGCTGATAATTAAAAAAAACAGGTCATGATTAACTATGGGTTGGTCCTTCCATTTGTCTGTTACATATCCAATAGGAACCATGCATCTTGTTAAAATTGACAAATAAAAGACTAAAGAAATGCAGAGGAAAGGAAATGGGAACATAACATCACATTATTGGTTAAAAATGAGAAAATTGTCAAACAAACACTTTGAATTGAAAAAAAATATTTCTTAAAATGTTTACCTTTGTGTCTACATCTTTCATAACACAAAGTCATTTTTATTTTAAAATTATGCTACAAAATTTTGAAAGCTTGATACTAAATATGATTAATAAATTTGTAATGTTTTTATAATTCTTTGTCTTCCACCCACATTATTAAGCATCTACTGTTAATTTTTGCTCACACAAAGTGAGGTTACCTGTTATTGCACTATCCAATTCATGCCGGATCGCTGGATCATTTTCATTGATGAGGGTATCGAGCTGGGCAGCGGTTATCCAGTGAAGACTTCGGATGCGGTTCTGTATGCCCAGATCCCTCTCCTCATCATTGGTTGAGGGGTGGCAGAAAATGGAAGGGTATAGGCGTGTTAAGATGTAGCGTTCTGTGTAGTCCATCACCTTATCAATGACATCAGGATTGAAACCTAAGATACAAATCACATCAGGATTGAAACCTACAGATACAAATCACATCAGGATTAAAACCTATTGACACAATGACATCAGAATTAAACTTACATGGAATGTTAGAGTTCTCATCTTTAAATTACTTATTTTAAAAAAATTAATAAATTTCTATTAAAATCCAAATAATATTTTACACTAATTTTTGGTAAACAAGTCATTTTCCATGTAATAGTTCAATATAACTCAGTTGGAACAAAGATTTTAAAATTTCATCAGTCAAATTTAACTCACTTTAATAAAATTTATAAATTGTAAATTTTCTTATATTGTCTCCATAACTCTTCATTGATTTCTAATGAAGTTACAAGATTACAAAAAAGACTCTTGGTAATGCTAATAAAGAACTTATATCTCTCTAAGTTTCAGTTTCTTGCTTTTTTCTTTCCTTTTTTCTTGCTTCTGAAGCAAACCTCAGAATAGAAAACTATTTAAGACAGTTTTGTCTTTGTGATGTTAGAGATCACAATTAATTCTAAGAAGGTCAAAATGATTTATTTAAGTGTTGTCATTTTAAAATCTGGATACATTTATTGTTTAAGTGTTTAAAAAAAAAAAAAGAGAATTGAGTAATTTACAGTGGTAAAGGTGAAAATAAAATGTGAACCTTTGAATACAGGCAGACAGTTGAGCTTTTCTGATAAACTTGTGTAAAAATCCTGCACCATCTCTGACAGGTCATCAATGGCTAATTCTTGATTATGCTGGATGCGTTCAATAAACCCACGAACCTTAACAAAAGTAAAGAATAAATAAAGTATAAATAAAACTTTACGACAATAGATAGATAACTTTTTGAAAAAAAATCACTACTCCAAGGTATTTTATTATTCAATTTTTGTCAACTTAATTCTGTGACACACCATTGTGATTTTATTGTTCATGTTTGTCAACTGAATACTGTGAAAATAATTATTTTAAAATGTTAAAAAGACCTGATATTGATATCCCAATGGATTACAATCAGGACTGGCACTAGGGATTCAGTAGTGTGTGAAAAATTCTTATTACTGTCTTTGAATCCCACAGTAAACATTTTTAAAAGAAAATTATTTTTCTATACAAAAAGAATAATTTCTGTCATACTGAATAACATTTCAAAAGATTTATTAAACTAGAATGGAAACTAAGGTGAAAATGAGAAAGTGAGAAAGTACAGTCAAATTTTTGCTTCCGACACTGTGTGACAGTCAGGCATTAATACCAGCCATACGCCGGCCCAGATTACAATTATAAGGAGAACTCAAAAGTATATAATATCTATATCCCTGGAAAGGGCAGCTATTATATATCTATTTAATACTCTAGGGGAGCTAGTATCTATATCCCTGTGCAGAGCAGGTAGTATATATTTATATACCTGTAGAGCCGGCCTGCACAACTCAAAAATGTAAGGTGGCCTTAAAGAGGGATGCATCCTCATTAAGAAATCACTGTTTTAAATTTAGCAGGGCCAGATCCCTCCAGGGACTCTAGTCGAAATGTCTATAGAGACATGCCAATTAAATTGAGCTGCCACCAACCCCCTAGCATTACCAGGGGCACAGCACCATCATTTAGGGGATCTGCGTGTGGGGACAAGGGTCTTGCCTGATATCTGCATTAGAAAGAGCACAGCTATACGATACCTAACAAATTACAGCTTAAAATAATGACAGAAACATGTCAGGATCATGATTACAAGTGGACTTAATGGATATGAGGCATGGGTGGGCTTTGACAACCCGTGCCACTGATTCTATCATCCACCATTTAAGGGGACTGTTCCTAGGCATCTGTTTTGTGTCTGTGAATTTTCAGGAGGTAGAAGCCATCTGTAGAAACCGTATTAGAGGCCGCCTGACACCACCCCGGGATGGGAAGGGGTGTACAATTATGATTTTAGTATATCCATCCCAGTAATAGAAAGTTTGATTGCTGGTGTTACGAGGGCAGCATTACCATCCGACCAAATGCTTCTTGGTTGGGATTGCCCCACTTGCTTGGTCAATCCAGTGGATGGTGGGTGGGGCTGTCTCAGCAGCGGAGTGCATCCAGCGTGCCTCTTCACAGCCCAAAAAGTAAGGTTTTCAGGTTGGGGGGAAAGGGGGTACACTGGGGATGGCCTAATGAGGTTCGGCTCAAGAGTTTGCTCTTTTTCTTAAGATATTAGATTAGATTAGCAGGCCAAGAGAAAAATTACTCTTTTTCTTAAGATATTAGATAAGAAGGGCAAGAGAAAAATGAATGTCTAGAAGAGCACAAACCAAAAGACATCTTAGCGAGTGCTCAGAACAGAAAATAAAGGAAATCTTTAATTAATGAATACTGCACAGAAATATTAGGTATTAAATTTAACTGTAGAAGAAGAAAAAAAAGTGGGGGAAGGGGTGTGTGTCAAAAGTTAACAAATAAAAAGCACAACACCAACCAATTTTGATATCTCCACTGCAGCCGGCTTTCTTTTCATGGACTTGAGGAACTCTGCAAATTCTCCACCAATTTTCTGACTTTCAGCACTAATTCGCCTTGGCTCTTTAACAAGTGGTTGGTTTTCTAAAAATAATAAATAGGGAACAATAATTTGTATAATTTACAGCCAGTAGTCATTTCTGTAAAAAAAAATTATTATTTCATGTTATTAATCCCATTTGAAAAAAAACGAACAAACTTTTCTTACAAATTAACCTATTTTTAAATAAATTTTTTATCAGTGACCCTAATATTCACATACCATATATATTTTACATTGGAAATTATTTGAAATCTAGATGTTTGATAAAGTATTTCTTGTAATGCTAATTTTTAAAATGATAAATACCTTTATTTGGTGTTTTCCTGAGGAATGATTTGAAGGTGTTGCTGCGTTTATTCACCTGCTGGGTCTTCTTCTCTTCAAATCTTGAAAAAGAGGCTTTCACATCAGCAAGTCCAGTGACCCTGTAGTATAATAAATAAACCATTATAAGGCGTTTCACACTTTATTGCCAGACTTGCAATGATAAATTAATCTTTGCATGTGATAACTACTTCTAATATAAGTAGGAGACTACTTCTAATATAAGTAGGAGAGTTTAAAGACTGTTTAAAAATCAACTTTTAAAAATCAGTATTTTAAGTTTTGTGTTGGCTTGGTTTTAAATAAAAATAAAATAAATAAAAAATAAAATTTTAAGTTCATGATGATGTTTGTTAAATTGTATGCACAGCTGGGACAACACACCATATAAATCCACTAATAATAACAATATTATATAATCTGATCATTGACATATTTTTTTACCCTTCACAGGCAGTGGTTTAGTTAAGAGAAATGGTAGTCACATTAGAGCTTATCTATCATGCCATAATTTAATTTATATTATATCACAGCATAATTTATTTATTTTTTGAACACCTTAAAAAAGCAACAAAAAAACTAATTGATTTTTAAGACTTGACTTAATAAACAGAATAATTATGCTAATTATAGTAGAATTAATTTTGTTCCCAAACTTGGCAGGCGAAATTGTTGAATCATATTCAGTGAATCGCAACAATACCATTTGTTTTGATTAGGTCAGCAAAGATATAAAAAGCCACTACTCCACACCCACATCACCATCCTTCAACAGCCACAGGAAAAAAGGTGGTAAGATACAAGAAATGACTCAACATTAAAAAAAATGTTAAAAAGTAAATTTAAACCAGAAGGGCGAGTTTTTAATTTTTATTTCATTTTCAACTATAAACTGATAGAAAAATACAGTTAAATTAGGTGGATTCACTCTCATGAATAAAAAAACCTTATATCTGAATTGTAAATGGAATCTTCCACTTACTTTTTGATAACACCGGGCGTCTGTGAAGCTTCCTTGGCAGCATCATGTTGCATCTGTGCCTGCCGTGCAGTTTGGTAAACCTCTCTGTAGCATTTACTACAAAATCCCTGCCAGGCAGGGTTCCCATAGAAGCCACATCCATTCTTGCATAGAAGATCAGTTTCATCTAAGTGAAATGTTTTCTTTTTGTTTTGCCCATTAGTGGCCAACATTTTTATCATGTAATTTACCGAAAATGCTGTCCTTTGGATTTAATCTTGTTTAAATAAATTTCACCATTTTATTAACTTCTCACGGTAGTGCTCGTGTCCTTCATTTTAATTAAATTCACAAGCCCAGGAGTCTATAATTTGCTAAAAAATCTTGAAATGTAACTTATTAACCAGTATTATAAAGTAATCTGAAAAAAAGACGAGAAATAACAATAAGTATTTTGCAGTCCCATTAAATAAAATGTCCATATTAAAACTTGCATCAATAATTACTTGAAGTGTAGAAGACATCTTATCTGCTAATTACTATATATGAGAAATAACCAACCAAACAATGGCGGCAGCAATGCGTGAAGTTCCTATCTACCTAAGTCTGGACAAAACATGCATTCAAGTAACGCACTTTATAAGAATCCCAATTAGTGCTAAATTCTAAAACTTTTATTTTGAGCACCAAATGAATACATCGTTACAGCCATATATACATACATACATACCTAGAGAATTATTATTTGTGTTGGCTTAGTATAAATAAAAATAAAATAAATAAAAAATAAAGTATATCATCTTCTACTTTAATGATTATAAATACACTCCTGTGTGATTAAGAGTGGTGATTGGCATAATCATTGGTATATTTATTATTAATTCATTCATTTGTATAAAGGCAAAGATGTATATGAGATGGGAGACATACAGTAACATAATAATGGCAAATTCACCAGTAGGCTCTAGTAAAAGGAATAATCATAATGCAGAAAAAGGAATTTAAATTTCTGATTAACCATGAGAAGGAAGCCTAAAAAAGTTCTGACATATTTGTATACAAAACAAAACTAGAGTTTACTAAATGCATTTGAAACATATTTTTTTATGCATAAAATAAAATCACATAAAGAAAAATACAAAAAGAAAATTTCCTTGATTTAAAGAGTATTTTTTTTCTCTTAAAATTAAATCATTGTTAGATGACATATGTAGGTTTAGACTCTTAATTCTTACAATGGTGGTAAAATATCAAATGGATTATTTAAAAACTGTCTAATTTTCATTGAGTAAATGAAGCTTTGTAAAAAGTTGCAACTTTTTAAAAGTCATTTTTCTAGTACATAGTTTAGAGGGTAATCATCTGGAGCCCTGAATGGGAGGGGGAATATTCGGTGGTAAATGCACTATCCCAACCCCTAGGAAAATTGGGGTGGGGGGTTGTCCCGCTGGAACATCTTAGATCAGCGGTTCTTAAACTGTGGGTCGCGACCCCTTTAGGGGTCGCATGATGCATGACCCTTTCACAGGGGTCGCCTCAGACCATCTGAAAACACACATACTCTACAGTTATAAAGTATCAACGAAAATAATTTTGTGGTTGGGGGTCGCCAAAACATGGGGAACTGTATTAAGGGGTCGCGGCATTAGAAAGGTTGAGAACTACTGTCTTAGATGGTTTGTGTGATGACTCACCGCACCCCTAGTGGTTATGATTGGGAAGGGGTGAGCTCGAACCAGCATCATGAAACAGGAGTTCAGTCCACTGCTTTCTAAAAATTGATCCAGAAGATTATTGTTTTTAAAAAAATTAAAATATCCAAAAAATTGTTCTTTACCTTAGTAAGGTATGGCATTGACAATTTGAGTGCTGAATTTGATTATATATAACAATTAACAGTAAGAACAGTAAGAAATTTTTCCCGATTAATTTCCTTTATCAACATGCATGCCAATCTCCTGAATGCTGAAATTAAAATCTTTTTACTCAAAACGTAGAGTATCCACAAGTAGGAAAAAAAATTACTCATAGAATAATAATGGTGTGATGAGAAATTTTAGTACTACTTTTAGACTGTGTTACAAGATTTTAAAAAAGATGAAAAATTCTGCTGTCATGTTTATTGTAAACCTATTTATATTTTAAATAATAGTTCTGTGACCATAGGCTTGGTCTATTTAAATGTATTATTTAACTATATTATAATTTGACTAATTTGGGGGGGCCTGGAGATTGTTTAGCTATTACCCCAAAATTTATTTGTTTATGCCTATGTTAACCCTCAATAGGGAATGGTTGAAAATTAGAGACTTTTAAAAATTAAAATGGTTTGTTCTACATTGGGAAATCCCAGGAGATTATTATTTACAAATAGTATGAATTAAATGAGATAAATACGCTTAAATTATGACTTTCAGAGTTCATATCAACATGTGTGTTTATGATTCTTGCTGAGCCACTAGTAATCACAATGTTGGTTGCATTTTTCTATTACACTGGCCAGAAGCAGTTTTGCCATGGTCAATTCTATGACATAGTTAAAAAGAACAGGTAAATTTGGTATACTCTGTCACAGTATGCATTGCCATTTATGCCAAGAGAGTAGGTTAATGTTTACTCAAACACAGATTAATAAGAGTTTTCTTTACCATAAACTCCAAACAGTCCCACATTATACGGGCACAGGTATATTGCTACGTGAAGAATGTGTATAATATAGAATATAGATATCTATACTCATACATGGGGGGGGGGGGGTGGGGGTTTAGTCTATTCCACTTGCATAGGCCTACCAGGGTAGGCTATCATCATAGAAAATATAAATATAACTTGACTTTAGTCTATAGCCTACTATAACAACTATAAGTTATAAGAAGGTACTATATTCTATTAAAATAGAGTTTATTATATATTTTTTAATAGCTTATAGGCCTACAAGTAACTAGTAGGCTACTAGCCAAGGATTGGCCTCACTTATTAACAAAATTCAGTCATACATTGAAAATGATACTATAAACTATTAATAAGTATAAAGTCAAAACAATAAACTAATTCTATTAGGCTACTGCTACTACAAAAAAATGAAATAATAAAAGTTTTATTTTATAATACTGATATCCTTACTTAATACTACAAATATAGGCAGTGGTGGTATTCTACCACTTTTCATGTCATTTATTGTATCAGATGGATGGATGATGGATGGGCGGCTTATACAAACATAAACCAAATCAGACACAGATTCTACGAACACTCCGTTGTTGTTCAACATAATTTTGTCAATTCAAATGATGCTGGTGCCCACACACAGACTATTGAAAGTATGTGGATGCACACTAATCACTAAGCGCAAACTAAAAAGACAGATTGGAAAAGTCGCAATATTTTCCCTTCACTTCATATTTGAATGAGTTCATGTCCGTAATCATTTTCATGGCCATGACATTGATTTAAACTCAAACTGTTTTCTTTTCATACATTAATTTCTATTTGAAAAATTAATACATTTTTCTTTTATTCAAAATGTTTTCTTTTATATATGACAATTGTATGAGCTGAAATTATGTACAAAACAATGTCAAATTGTCATTCATATTTCCTTTTTTTTTTTTTTTTTGATCAGTAAAATAAAAGAATTTTATTTTCATCTTATCTAAGCTGTACAGTTCGTAATACTGATTATATCATGATTAATGCCTGCCTAAACATACTGGCTATATAATAAATAATATACATTACTAATACTATATAGTTACATCGACAAAAATGGTGAAGTGTCTAGTGTCTGTGTAGTTAAGTTACTTTTTACTAATCGTCTACTAGTCTACTTACCATCATCACAGTCGTTGATGATTGATTAAATTGTTTAAATGTTTTAACTCATAGGTGCAAATATTTTTTCTCAAAGATCCACGCTTAAAATTTTAAGCATAATAATAATAATTAACGACTTGTTTCACCCCGCTACTAGTACTAGTAGCAGTAGTATTAGGTGATTAGGTCTTAAGTCTTAACTCTAGACATGGGCCGAGACGTAAACTTTAGTCTCATGATCAACATCAACAAAACCACAGAAAGCCTTTTAACCACTGTTCATTGTATTTTATATCTAAAGAATATTAGCTCTTTTAAAAAAATATTTTTAAAAACTTGCAATTATTTATAAGTCATTGTATTAATTTACTTAATTTTATTCAAGTTACTTTATAATAATATATATACAGAAAATTAATATTTAAAAAAAAAAGAAAAAGACAATAAGCTTATTTAAACAAAATAAATTCATGTTACAATCTGGCAACGTACCACTACAACGTAATGTCAATGAACAGGGTTAATAGTGTCACCAAATGTTTTTTCTTGTTTACTAAAAGTGAAAGAAGCCATATTCCTTATGAATTCCCTACAAATCATGGTATCATCATCAAAGAAAAAACACTATTTCTCGTTTACCATCAAATATCTCAAACCATATAATTAATGCCCTTGCTAGTGCTAGTTTTTTTTTTTTTTTATATTTATTAATTGTATAAATAAAGACATATAACGTACCATAATTTTAAGGATTGAAACCGGGAACAAGTATTTTTTTTTTTTTTTCCTCAGCAAGGGGTGAGGTGAAGGGGGCAACCGACCTGGGGCCACATTTGTTTATGCAATTACCAACACTATATAATAAATGTGTGTGTGTTGGAGCGCAATTTCGATAGCTCGCCCCAAGCGCCATTAATTAAAGGTACGCCATTCACTTTCACCCATCATTGGCATTGGGCGAAATGTCTGAAACGTCACATTGTGTGTGTGTTTTGAATTCGTAAAAAAAAATATTAGTCTATAATTTTTCTCTCTTGAATATAGACTTTCTGACCAATATAAGTAAATAAAGTGCATCANGTGTATTGTAGGCAGGTCTTGTAATACCGTCTCTAATTTTGTTTTTATAGTAGGGCTATAAAGTGCTCCAAAAAAAAAAAAAAAAAGGAAAAAATGAAGAAAGAAAAAATAGGATTAATAATAGGTTAGTTTTTCATCCATTAGAAATTGCTATCTGATTTATTAATCGTACATAAGGCCTATAAATAGATTTCTCAGAGGTGGGCTAGTGCCCCAATCATTTGCCTTCGCGTAGTTTTAGGTCGAACTAGACTATAAATGGTAATATTAATGTAAGATTTCGTCATATATTTATATTATGTATAGTAGCACCATAAGAATGTGGCTCGGTCAAAATGTTAACATGGTAAAAGCTGTCATTGAATGATAGATGAAATAGATGCAAATCTTGTCATCAGTTTCATTAAATAAATAACGGAACAAGATACCTTTAGACTTTTAAACAAATACAAAACAATTGTTAGGTTGTTTTTTCAAGCCTAAATACAAATTTTCCCACTATTTATTTACTTCTTCACACGGTTCTAATGCAGTCCCCAATAAATAATCTATTTAATTGATTATAACATTTAATTCCCAACTCGATGCTTAGGCCTATACAGGGTGGCCGCCCAAAAAAGTGAAATCATCTCGTAGCAAAGGGCTATTTAATATAATATAATGGAATAAATTACAGTCGTATGCCAAGTATTACGCTAATCAGAAAACATGTTCATTGTGCCACCCCCAACCCACCATTCTCAACTACTTTAAGCTATTATGTATGGTATATCGCTAGAGTAAAGCAAAGTTTGATGTAATTAGTTGTTATATTACACACACACACACAGAGAGAGAGAGAGAGAGAGAGAGAGGGAGAGAGAGATGTTACCGCTTTTTTTTGGGGGGGGGGGCGGGGGGGGCACCCTGTAGTGGTAATTAAGCCTAAAAGAAAAGTTGACATCCACTTTGTCCAGCGACTACTTTTTTTCATCATTAATTATTATTTATTTAATTATCAAATGTCATGTTTAATTTGTTTATTGTGTTTATCCACGCGTAGTTTTAGTATTATCTAATCTATGTATATATTATTGTATAAGTTAGGGTAGGCATAAAGTGCAATAATCATTTGTCTAGTACACGTTACATTCTTTAATAAGTTATCATGGTGCGTGCACCCCGTAGAAATTTCTTCCTTATTAGGATATTATCAACTCCACCAATCAAATATTCGCTTAGTTTTATTGCAATCCATTTATGGAAAAGCTAAAAATAGATATTTCTTTGTAGTTCTAAGTCTTAGTTTCGCAAATAATATAAATTGGGAATCATTTTTGTTAAGTCATTCGAATATTTTTTGCTTCTGAAAAGCTTCTAATTTTGAATAAGTTATTTAAATAAATATATTTTAGTTACTTTTTGCAATAAAACCTGTTAAATTTGCTTAATTTGATAAGACCGACAGGGGGCGCATCTTCTTTACACGGGACCTTCAAAGGAAGTAGAACATCCTACCGTCACGCCGGCTAACTGTTCTCACAACAGAATTTAACGTTTTGTTTTGATATTCTAAACTAAACAACCATGTCATCTGGTATCAAAATCGCCGACGAAGTCAAAGAAACTTATCAGCAGATATCTATGACAAGTACAAAATCAACCAAACTGAAATATTGTATATTAAAATTCTCAGATGATTCTAAACGAATCATTGTAGAGAAAAGTGCTTCAGCTGAAGAAGATTCTGATTATGATACTATAATTTCGGGTCTTCCTCCCAAGGATGTTCGATACCTTGCCTACGACTTTGAGTTTGTCAATAAAGATGGAACAAAGAAGAGTGAAATGATACTTGTTTCCTGGTAGGTACCAATTTTAAAATGTTAATTACGCCCGCCCCAGTGGTATTCCTAACTCCTTAACTGCACTACCACTAATATACTACAAAGTGGGATATCCGGAAGTGGAACTGATTTTTCTGGCAAAGCCACAGACGTTAGTCATAATTAGAGTAAGTAGTGTGTAATCTTATAATTTAACTATGGGAATTTAATGCAAATGAAATGGGTAGGTTATTGGTTGTTTATTGACATTTTCAGCATACCTAGTTCTCCAGGTCAACTTTCGTCTACAGCCCCTATTCAAAAGATTTTGATATTTATGTTTGAGTTTGTTTTCACTTAATTAATGCAAGTTTTTGTTTTCTTATTTTATTTTTTTGTAATGAGGGTTCTTCCCTCTCCAGAAGATCTTGGTAAATTTTGGGTTAATGGTATGGGTTTTGCCAAGAGTTGTCTCACCCTAAACTCCGTGACGTCACTTAAGGGGAATCCCAACACTGGACTTCCGGTGAATAGACCAATAAATTGTATGACCTGAACGATGAAAGAAAAAACACCCCTTTGCTTGATACCCCAAGACCCAACACCGGTGAAAAAAAGACGCACGATAAAAATCGAAGTGCGCTTTTGTTAAAACTTCAGTAACAAAAGGGAGACTACTGCTTAAATTGCAGGAACCCCCCACCCCCCACTCCACTTTAAATAACAAAATTAACAAAGAAATCCTCTGGGCCTGCCCTCCTCCCACCCCTCCCCCAATTTCAAAAAATATAAAATAAAACAAAAACTTGCATTATGTGAATACAAACATCAAAATCTTTGAGTACAGCGCTGTAGACGGAAGTTGACTTGGGGTGGAACCTCCGTGACCTATATATATGCTTGGAACACATTGCCAGCCTTACAGCTATCCAAAAATCAACCAAGATCTTTTTGCAAAGCTATTTAATCAGTAGTCTCACTTATGTTACTGAAGTTTTAACATACCGGTGCCGGGTGCCTTGTTTTTCAACTAATCAAAAGAAAGCACCTTTAGCGCGCATCTTTTTCTTTCCTCCTGTGTTGGGTCTCAGGGGGTATCTGCGAGGATGTGTTTCTTTTTCCATTTCTTTTGAAACATCTAAATTTAATTTTAATACAAATTAATGTAAAATTTCGTTTTAACCCTTTACATTGCAGAGCGTCCAAAAACGTCTTTACTACTTAAAGGGCAAAACGTCCAAAAGCTTTTGTGACAACTAAGAGTTGTAAACACGCAATCGCAGAGTCTTTGCTTGACTTCCGATTGTTTACATCCGGTTTTGCCAATAGCTTGATAGAGTGGCAAATTTTGTTGTAGTTTTCGGGGTTTTAATGCTTTGTTTTTCAAAATGTATTTTGACGATTCTTCAAGGGATAGCGGAGATTTCACTGGATTCAATTTAAGTGACATTGAAGTGCATGAATTGACTATAAATCGGAACTAGATATTAATATTAGTAGTAATATTTGTGAAATCAGCGTCTTAAGCAGTGTTGAATTGTACACCCTTCGATTTCAAGCAGGGAGAGACAACTCTTGTCAAAACCCAAACCGTTTATCCAAAATTTACCAACTTAATCTAAATGAACAGAACATCTATTTCGTATTTGATAAATTTACATAATAAATATATTAAAATGTATTTATAAGTGCATGATAATTAAATTTTAATAATTAAAGTTAATATTAAAACTTTTAATACCTAGCGTTAATCCTGAAAATAAATTTTGTCTAAAATTATCAATTTCTTAAAACTTTTTTTTTACACATGTCCCACCTATTGCCATAAATGATGCATTATTTTTAATGGCTTGTTTTAAGCTTTGTAAAAACACCAAGTTTATCTTTCTATCTTTTATAGGAATGGAGTTATGTTTTTGTTTTGTTGTTCAATTTTCATAAAGCCCCATATTTATGTTTTCTTTTCAATGAAGAAAATTTGTAACCACCTTTCCATTTTTGTGCCTTATTCTGCCCACAACTTATTATTTTACAAGATAATTATACTAAATTTTTATGAGATATTCTTAATGCCAAATACAACACAATGAACAACAAAACTTTAACGTAACATCAAAACTTGGTATATTGTATAACTTTGAGAGGTCTTTACTGAATAATAATTTAATCCAAGAAATTATAAATAGAAAATTAAAATATTTTCTCTTGAACCTAAAACTGAAAGAAGCCTAGAAATAACATCTAATCATAACCCTGAACCCACACAATTTCTATTTTCTTTCGAATATTCTTGTGTTTATTAAAATTTAGTTCTTTTTATTTTAAAAAAAATTAGTTAGAAATATTAAGTATTTGACTTTTACAAATCGTCATAGTTATTATGTATTTATTAAATAGATGGTGATGAGTTAAGTCTTATTTATTTATTTGATGTACGATGTACTTTTAAATAGATTTTCTAGTCTATTTTATATATATTACCAGACCTGCCAACCCTTCCGATTTTGTCAGAAATATTATACAGATTTTTTACCCCTCATTCCGACAAACCCCTTAAAATTCAGATTTTTCTAACTTAATAATTTTTCACCTGTTATAAAAATCCGAAAGTGACCACCCCAAAAAAAAAAAAATCAGTTGCGACAGGAAGTGTTGTATTTGTTTTACAAAATTGCGTGAAGTATTTGACAGTCATCCTAGTCATGTGACCGCTTATTGTCAATCAGAGTTTACGGTACTTTATTTCAACAAATTAAAAATAGTCTGGATATTTACATGAAAAAAAATATGTTCAATTATACAAAAAAAAATACTAGAACCATTGCTGGTATATATAATGAACTGTTGGTTAAAAAGTTGCAATGTTTTTATAAAGCCTGACATGCTTGCCGGATGAATATCTCCCGCACTATTTGTCCGGTCGCCTGACATGAAGACACTGTCTTCAAATCATTTTTCAAACATTTGATCCGATCGTGATTCATCTTTTTTACAATGCTAAAAAATAATTCAGACTTTTTTTTTGTTGGTTTACCCTTTTCTTTATTAAATAGTTAAATCTATTGAAAGTGATGGGTACAATGATATTAATTAAGGACACCAATACATTTTACTGGTTAAAATTTGTATAAACCCAAATGACTTAAAATATTTTCTAACCTAAAAGAATGTTTTATGTGTCTGAAAAACCTATTTTAGTTGATTAAAAAGGATCCTAAAGTAAGAGTGGTTTTGAGTTGAGAAAAGATGAAGCAGTAACACACTCGTGCTTGCTGTTAAAAGGTCAAGATCATATTCATTACACATAGTGAACAGAATCACAACATTCATACCATATGCTTCTTCGTTCCATTTACTCTCATATTATCTATACTTAAATGGGTCTTTGGATTCATTTTCCATTAGTTTTCTATTATTTTAATGATACATATCAAATTTACTGTAAAAAAAAGTGTAGACATCACAGCACATTTGGATTGGACTGTTAAAAATTTTAATATTATTTTATTAATAGAATAGGCCTAATAAATATAAATGTTTCCAAAAATGTATAAGTATTTATAAAAGCCTATACAATTTACTAAAAGTATTAGAATATTACATTGAAATTAATTTTTTTTTTAATGCAAAATTAAGTTACCTAATAATACTACTAATTAATCATTCTATTATTAATAGAATGGTATTAAGCCTTTGACAGTGGTATAGATTAAGCTATTTTTTAAATTATAAACATAGTGATAGCTTAAATTAATTTTTTTTAAATCATATTGGTTTCTGTTATTTTTTTACTTTAAAAAAATAAAGATTGTACAAATAGTAGTTGCATTTTATCCATAGTTTTGATTATGCAATGTACATAGACTTTGATTTAAACAAGCCCCTTATATCCATGTCTCTTTACCCTAATACAGTGAAACATAAGGTTGTAAGACATTAAATTCGATAACTTTGTCAAAACAGACAATATTTAGTTAATTATAATCTTTGTCATGTTGAGTTATTTTATAGGAATTTTATATTTAAATAGGCATCCAGAGACTTCTCCTATCAAGCAAAAGATGCTCTGTGCCTCTTCCTTCAATGCCCTCAAGTCCTGTCTGTCTGTCAGCAAGAATGTCATAGAGGGAAGTTGCTTTGAAGAAGTTTCCAGTGCCGCTGTTTTGGAAAAGCTGAGGCGTAACTGAATAAGTCTTATTATAGGTACGTTTTTTTATTCTTGAAGGTTTGCATTCCCTGTGAGAATTTGTGAGATGCTTCAATACATTTGTATCTTGCTTAGTCAATCTTATCCTCGCCCCATCTCTTTTTACCTGGAATTTCATTGTACATCTGCCATTTCTACTTTAGTTGGGGGGAAAGCTATTTCTTCACTTTGTAATGGTAAACTGGAAATTTAATATTTTGATGGTGCTGTGGCTGTTAGTCAAGGCAAATATATAGCTTGTTTATACATGACAAAGCTGTGACCATTAAGGCTTTAATTTAATTTGTGTCATTTTCACCAGTGTCTGCTACTGTTTTTTTTTCTTTTTATGCGTGAGTCTAATGCATCTAACTTGTCTCCCTACATCAATGTCAGAGGGGCATTTTTTTTTTTTTAAATTGCGTTGAAATTTAAAACTTCTTATATTTATCTAAATACATAATTTCCTTTATTTCAGGTGTGCTGAAAAAGCTTTTGGAAGATGTCAGTCCGTAGGGAAATATTTTTTGGAGGGGCATGCTTGTCAGTAATTACCCATGTTTACAATGTACATTGACTTTTTCTCCCCCCTTGTTTTACTTGTTTTGGGGAGATAAAAAATGTAACTTTTATTATTTTTCACTCACAATACTTTTCGAAATATAGGGAAACAAAAATTGCTGCAAATTTCCAGACTGAGGGTTTCAAGGTTCAAGTAAAAATATTTATATATTTTTACCTTCACAAATCAAAATACTTATTGAAGTGTGTTCATTTAATATTTTAATTAATTTTTTTCTTCTTCTCTATGCAGTCTTATCTTATGTAATTATTAAACTTTTATCAAAAATATGTGCAGTTCTAAATTGGTGATTTTAAATTGACCTTTTGACTTATTCAGCATTGTTACGTTAATTTAAAACATTGAACAGCGTCCCTCCATTTTTTTTTTAAATATGAATTTCCTTAATTAAAGTAATTTAATGCATTTTTTATTTTGAACATGGCATCTTTTTCTTTTGTTGCAACTTTAGAAATTTTCTTTGATCCATTAATTTCATCATAGGGTCTTTTAAGAAAAATTTATTGATGATTGTTTTGAATAATTTGAATTAATTCCTAGTATCATATTAAGTCAGTTATCAATAAATAGTGTGTGCTCTTAAAACTTTTTTTTAAAAAAGAAATGTACCTAATTTCGAAATGTACCCAATTTCTTTTGTTCTTTACTTTAAAAAAATAATATTTTTAAAAAATATTAATTAAATTATTTGTCATTGGGTAAAAAATGTCATTTGCTATTTCATTAGGTATTTATAAAATTAATGCTCAATACAGTATCTTATTTATAATACCATGCTAAATAGTTGTATTTTTATTTTTGGAAAGGTAATTGAACAAATTAAGGGGGGGAACTTGTTTTACACTGGTATTAATGCTATAATTTAAGTAAAGTATTTCAAATGCCTATGATCTCTTTGTAAACATAATACCAGGGAAGAACTCTGCTTAGCTGGTATTGGATTTCTATCTTTACGACTATTATTAGTCTTAAATTCAGCCGTTTTCGCTTGGGGTGAAATTTACTGTATTCACACTTAACAAAATTATAACTTTTAAGATGACACTTGCAACTAGTACAACCAAAACCCCCCCCCCCGGTGATTTGGGGGCTGAAGCCACAACACTGAATGTAAGTGGGTGTGTTTGCAAGCAGAGATTAAAATATATGATCATATTAAACAAAATTATAACTTTTAAGATGACACTTGCAACTAGTACAACCAAAACCCCCCCCCCCGGTGATTTGGGGGCTGAAGCCACAACACTGAATGTAAGGGGGTGTGTTTGCAAGCAGAGATTAAAATATATGATCATATTGTCGCTTAAATTTTCAATGAAATGCCCCCAAACCCTGCTGGATATTTTATGCATACCTTGGGCATCATTGATATAAAAATCACCAATTAAAATCAATTATTTTCCCTTGCGGGTTATATAGCTACAAGCTTTTGAAGTAAATCATTTGGTCAAACTCATTATTTCTTTAGGAGCTTTTTAAAGAAGTTTTTCAGATAATTATAACTGTTGACTGGCGAGTAATTTCCTAGTCTTACTTATTATTCATACACATTATGCGCTGTGTACCACTTTTATATACATGCAAATAATAAACTGTTACTTCTTAAATAGAAAAGGTTTTATTGTTTCCCCCCATTAAGTTATATATGTGAAAAAGGTAATTTCTTATGCTAAATTATTGTCTGTGCATGTCTGATGGGTAAAATAATTTTTTTTTTTTTTTTTATATATATATTTACCACCTTAGACTAAAGAACAGAATAACTATAACTAAATCTTATAATTTGGCTCAAGAATTCTTGTCAAAAAAATATATATTTTTTAGCAGTAGTAGTAGTGGACATGATTTTGAGAGTAATGAAATTGTCATTAAAATTACATGACTACAAATGTAGGTTCCATTAATAATATGAATGAACTTTTAATTGTAAAACTTCAGGAGAAAACTAGTTTAAAGAGCAAGTACATTTGTTTTAGGTGTAAGTCTGAGGACTGTTACTAACGTATCATTGGAGAAAATATTCTGTATTTAAAAACCAAAATAAAACAAATGACAAGCAGTTAGTTTATTGGGAAACAAAAGAACAAGGCTTAAAATTATATTCCTTATTAAACTGAATAAGCACAAAAATAGTGCTCAAAGTTGCTTATCATGTCCACTAATTTATTGATCCATTATGTTATGTAAATTTGTAAGCTTCAAGGCCTGAGATATTTTACAGTGGAGTATTAAACAGGCCCAAAAGTTACCTCTTTCAACAGTAACATCACATTGATTTGTAGAGAATGAGCAAGATCTCAACATGAGTTTTTTTTTAAAATAATAATAAAAAGAATATAACTGATGTGTTGAATGCATGCATTGACGCTGCCTTATACATATAAATGTATACCTGGTATTTAAAAATTGTTTTCTGTCGAATCTTTTTTAAAAAAAATATTTTAAAAATTCATATTATGCTGTACCAATTTTTTAATCAATTTATAATTAGAGAACTAATTTAAAACTTTAATTTTAAGCACCGGTATATTGTGGGACTCTACAACTGACTATTTTGAATTATCTAACTTCTCCAGGAGGCATGAAGTTGGGGAACTTGCTTACTAAATTAACCACGAAACTGAACTGTTTTGCTTAATTTTATTTGTCAGGCAGCAGACCCGCACCTGGGGGGGGGGGGGAGGGGGGGCCGGCAACCAGGGCATTTGTCGGTCAGGGGCCCGCCCTTTTTCATGTTTTAAAATATAAACTGAACTGTTTTGCTTAATTTTATTTGTCAGGCAGCAGACCCGCACCTGGGGGGGGGGGGGGGGGGGGCCGGCAACCATGGCATTTGTCAGTCAGGGGCCCGCCCTTTTTCATGTTTTAAAATATACGCACGTGTTTGAAAATGAAACACGAAAGAGGACAGAACTCGTCAGTTACCTGGGGCCCAGAATTTCCTAGGTGCGGGACTGAGGCAGATGAAATGCGAGATAATTTTTTTTTTTTTAAACTTCGAATTTGGGGGTGAGAAGAACATCTGCACCGGTACTGCGCACATTGCCGAAGATTACAGTAGGTGTAGACAAAAACAAACCGTACGATTAGTACCCGTACGAACTAATCCAACTTAACAAATTGCCGATGTTAACATTTACAGGTGGAGACAAAAACAAACGGTATAAACTAATGCACCTGTGAATTGTTTAATAACAAAATGTGCATAAGAAAAAAAATGTGGTACAGTATTACATATAAATCGATGCAAGTGTTGATTAAAATTATTACGGTAAATAGTTCTAAAACTTAAAACCATGAAAAATTTTAATTAAAAATTGTAAGCAAATAGTTACTAGCAGCCAGCACACGGACATTTTAAAAACACACAGATTCTGCAAATTAATACATGCAGTTTGAGCAAATACGGTAACCGCTACATAAAGAAATAGAATCCATCTCTTTTACATCTACTTTACAATTATGTTTAACATACACCCCCAACCCGTACGACAGATTATTAAATTATTATTTTTTTTTTTTAAGTTCTAATACAGTGGTTCTCAACCTTCCTAATGTCACGACCCTTTAATACCATGCTAAATAGTTGTATTTTTATTTTTGGAAAGGTAATTGAACAAATTAAGGGGGGAACTTGTTTTACACTGGTATTAATGCTATAATTTAAGTAAAGTATTTCAAATGCCTATGATCTCTTTGTAAACATAATACCAGGGAAGAACTCTGCTTAGACCCCCTTTTGGGGGCTGCTGTTGAGAGCTGCTGTTCTATAGAGACCTGAGTATAGAGATTCTGTTTTTTGCACATCATCATAAGTACCGGTTAGTGTTAACCAGTATCTTTCTTTGTAATTTATGCAGATTGAAGTTAGACAATTCGAAAAAATGGTTTGATTTTTTTTCAGTGATGGGGCCATCCTTACATTTATTTATTTATTACGTACGCATAAAAGCACTTTATGAATTCAGTAAGGCACCGAACTAAAAAAAATAAACAATGGATGTCTGCTGGATGTGTGGTCAAGTGTGTCGACACGACATACGCATGAATCTTAATTAAACCTTCTTATCTTCTTTGGCTTTACATTATCTTTATAAATGAACAAATACATCTTTTATAAGTCTGAGTTCTCTAGCCAATCAAATGATAAATTAGTATCCCCAAATACACGTATACCTACACTCTTTGTAAAAGGGTATTTACAACACCATGGACTTGTAAAAAAAAAAATTATCACAATTTCCATCTAAAACGTACACCACTCACTCTAATATTATATATATAAATATTATATTATATATATTATATATATATTTTATATATATAATTATAATACAAGAAGTGTGTCACATAAAATAATGTGTCAGATATACTCAAATGAAAATCGCAATTGCTGAAGCTATTCACAATACACCGCGTGGACATTTGCCACACATACGAACTGTCCGTTCTTGAAAGTGTCAGACGCAAAAGAATCAGTTCCCTGGCTCCAGATACACCTGCTGCATACCTCTGACCCTTGACCTTTGTTTTGGAAGATGATAACTTGAGATACAATCTTGTACCGAGGGAATCCCAAACCTTTCACCCTGGACTTGATCTCCGATGATATCGCGAGGCACATTTGCTTGGAGTCGTCAGGGGTATACTTGAAATGCCTTAGGTACCGCCCCAGAACATCTCCGAGGACGACCTGAACTTTCTCCGACTTGAACGTCTCCTCGGGGTGAGGACCTAACCTGAACGTATTCTCCATTGTGATTTCCGGCTTTACCGGAATTTCCGGTTTTCGCTGCGACATCCTCTTCCAGGCCCTGGCGGCCGCGACTATCCTGAACACGGACAGCCCCGCCCTCGGGCGCGGTGTCATCAATGAGTGCCTGGACGAATTCTGCCTGTCCACGGAGCTGGCTGTCCCGTCAAGGTTTGGGATGGACCTCATCGAATCCGTCCTGCTGAAAATTCTCGACCTTCCCTTGAGGCTGTTGCTCAGCTCGTCTCTGCTGCAGGAGTGCGTCTGAAAAGAATTGTGTAAAGGATATGAATAAAAAGACCGAGTTTAGAGGAAGTCCTATCCACTTCTGATCTTGACACCGTGACATTTCCTGACTCCGGATCTTAGAATCTTACTCATGGCCAGAGCGATCTCGTGACTTATGGTTTTTGCGCCCCGCTCCAACCAACTTTTTTTGTGTTGTTTTTTGCTCAAGGCGTCACAACAAAGCAAAAATTATTATATTTTCCGAAACTAATGCACTTTAATTCGTGTTTAATTTTAAAAGAATATCTTCAAAAGGTTAGAAAATATCACTTATAAATCGATCCAAAATTGTATTGTAAAACAATGGTTACAATAATGGATAAACCTAATTTAATGATAAATAGCGTTATCCCAATCAGTAAATAATTGATGAGTGTGATGGGCATAGGTAAAGGACGGTAACTCTTTTTTTTTTGTGGGGGTGCATTTCCTTCCCCTTAATATTATATACTTTACATATCTTATTTTTATGTGTTTTTCTGTGTACATTATGGTTTTCGTTAATCAAGGGCGTACGTACTCCACTCCTGGGAGTTATTAATTAAATATCTTTTTTTTTTTTTTAAACGTACGTTTGTATTGAAAATAAACATTTGAATAAAGTACCCTAATGGGATTATTACAATTCACGCTATTTTATTTTAACGTTGAACTTTCAATGTCAGAAAGGCTAGAGGGAAAAAAAAGATGAATAATCATTATTATACATATAGTATTGAACAAAATTATTTCCTTTACTAATATCCCAAAAGTAAAATGAACTAAAAGTCGTTTGGGGCGATCGCCCCCCCCCCCCTTTTTTTTTTCCGCTCACTCCTTTAGTCCTACCACGGAGTTATGGAATGATGTACATAACAAGGACGGATGAAACCTGACAAATATTCTCGACACAAGAAGAGAATGAAAAAAGTACATAAATTGTTGCTCAATTGTATGTGAAAATGATGACCAAGGCTATGTTCCACGTGTGAGTGCGCAGGTGGCCTGCAAGTCCTATTTGTGTCTGGGAAGCCTTTGTGCACGTGTGATACACGTTATATATATATATTTTTTTTTTGGTCCTAGTTGGATTTGAGCCGATTCTGCTTTGCTTTGCAGCGCGCTTTCTTTGGCTATGTGAGCGGTGCGCTTATTTTCTGAGGATTGTGTCCCAATAGTGAGTCGGCCACGCCAGCTTGCGCGATCCATAGCAAGTGTTTCCCCATGAATCAAGGTCAATGTCCATGGATTTTAGAAAAGCTTTTAGACAGACCTTGAAACGTTTTTTTTTTCCCTTCTGCCAACCAGCTGAGCGTTTTCGCCTGGAGAGTGCATTGAACATTAGTTGTTTGGGAAGTCTGCTGTCTAGCACTCTTACAACATGTCCAGGGTTTCTTTCAGCTATATCCCAGAGGGTGGGGGCACTACCCCCGGGGAAACCCAAGTGCCCCCCCGGAGCAAAAATATGTCCAACAAAAAATCAACTGCCACTGCCCCCCCCCCCCCACCAAAATATCTGAAGTGCCCCCCCGGGGGAAAATTTCTGAAATAATCACTGAACATGTCATACCCATATGGCTCGTCCTCTTTGTAGGATCGTTCGGACGCTGATAAAATTAGCTCATTGTAGGTCCTCACCGTCCTCTGTACAGAGGCATAGTGAAGGGGGCCGGGGGGACTGATGTCACCGGGCGCCAGCTACTTAGGGGCGCTAAAATGTGCTTTGTTACTGTTTTAAATATGAAAATAACGGGTTTGAGAGTTAAAAAAAGAAAAGAGGGCGCTTTAAAATGAATTTTGTCCCCGGGCGCTAATCTTGTCCCCGGGCGCTAAACACTCTCGCTACGCCTCTGCCTCTGTATGAGGGACTTTATCCTGCCACCTTATGGCAAGCATATATATTTATAGTTCATCAGTCGGTATCGACTACGAACACCTTAATCCTTGTATATCCTTATTCAAATATTGTGAACTTGACTGTGGGTGCGCAGACCTCCGAATGCATGCATAAACACTGAATCAATATAATCAGTTTTAATTTATAAACATAAATTATGTCCCTTTATTTCTTACATTTGATAAAAATCATTTCAAAAATAATTATACTGGCCTTAGCTTGGCTTAGTGCCACCCGGCTGTTGTCAGTGGCGCCACCCTCCTGGTCCCAGATTTTCTCCTTTGCCTTTCCACGAACCCCTCCCCCTCTGCAACTGGTTGAAAATGCCGCCCTCACAATACAAAGAAAAAACAGTTCATGTTCCGCTCGGGGTGAATCACCCCCTCCAACGCCCCTGAATGAAAGCTGACATTTAAAAAAAAAGTATTAAGTACGTACGTAGGCCTATTTGTCACCGAGGTAATGCTATCCCGGATAGGTTTGAAGCTGGTTCTTATTAAATTATTATATTGTTATGTGGCGATATCGATGCATGTGTGTCTCCAACATAAAATGTTCGGGAAGCTCGACCACAATGTTTCATCTTACAACTATTTTGTGGGGACAATAACGACACAGTTTTTAAGATGGTCTTACCCTCTCCTTGCTAGACAGAAGTTTGGGATGAACCTTGTCGTGTTGTTCCAGTGCTTTCTGTGTCAACCGTTCGGCTGCCATTTTTCACCACTGTTCAGATGTTCGAGTCGATCTGTACGAAGTCAAACTGAATAAAAAATACCAACATAGTTAAAGAAGGCCAACTGTGTAAGGTATATCACCTGACCTGAGTACGGTATACCACGAGAGTAAAGTATACCGACTAAAAAAAGTTCAGTAAAGTATACCAAATGTGTAAAGCAGGGGAGGGGCAGCCCTATCACCAACCGACACATGTTGCCAACGGACCTCTAAATTGTGTCGAATTTGGATTGTCCTTTAAAAAAATTTATAAAAAATGTTTGCACAATATCTGAAATTAGGTATTCCGCAAACCGTGTGAAGTCACAATTCGTGAGTTTCTACATTATTGAGGAGAGAAAAAACGCCACTTTCTGATATAATAAGTAACTTCTTTAAAAAACAAACAAACAAAAAAACAACTTTTGATTAACCTAGCACCCATGGGCGCCCGCACGAAGTGGCAGGGGGGGCAATTGCCCCCCCCCCCCCCTGGATTGATTGGATAAAAAATTTTTAGACAAAAATAGACAAAAAATTTATTAAAATAAAGAGAAAATAAAGAGAAAGTAACTAAGCTGATGTCCTGTCCGTTCGTTCACCTTACAAATACGCTACAGTAAATTAAAACAATATTAAAACATTACTAAAAAAAATTTGCCCCCCCACCCCTGGAAAGTTAATTTATTTTTTTTGCCCCCCCCCCTAGAAAGTTTTCTGCGGGCGCCCATGCTAGCACCCCTTTCTTTTAAACCCATAACAATAATGTGCAATCTCTTGTACAGACGTCACTGTGTATGTGGCGGGGTTGACAATAATAGAAAAGGAAAAAAAACAACTCACGTATATGAAATTGAAAGTCCAATAATTATGAAACTTAGGTGTTTCTCACTGAAGTCTGAAATGACCAGCCCTCGAGTCTTTGCCGTCTGTCAGCGACGAACGAACCCGTCGGCTTTCACTTTCAGCTAGCCACCTACAGACATACCAACACACACACCGAGCTAGGGCGGAATCCGGCGTACGTAGAAAGGTAAGGGGGGGGGGGAAGTTATCGCTACAGCATGTACAGGGTTTCCAAAACAAGGGTATAATCAAATCACCGTCGGCTTTCACCTTCAGCTAGCCACCTACAGACATACCAACACACACACCGGGCTAGGGCGGAATCCGGCGTACGTAGAAAGGTAAGGGGGGGGGGGAAGTTATCGCTACAGCATGTACAGTGTTTCCAAAACAAGGGTATAATCAAATCTCACACTGTGCCTATTATATTCCACGGCCACAGTCGTGTCCACATAAGTGTGCCGTGGTGGGCGTCCGTGGTCGTGTCCACAAAATTCTGTCCTTGTCGGTTTCCATAGTCGTATCCACTAATTCCGTCATTGTAGGCTTCCATAGTCGTATCCACATAAGTTTGATATTATGTGCTTCCATGGTCGTGTTTACAATAAGTCTGTCATATATATTTAAGTGCTTCCATTGTCCATAAAAATAGCAGGGGGAAATCCCCAGATGCTCCCCAGCCCACGAGTTAAAAGAGCCTTGGTGACACCCCACGAGTTAAAAGAGCCTTGGTGACACCCCACGAGTTAAAAGAGCCTTGGTGACACCCCACGAGTTAAAAGAGCCTTGACGACACCCCACGAGTTAAAAGAGCCTTGGTGACACCCCACGAGTTACAAGAGCCTTTGTGACACCCCACGAGTTACAAGAGCCTTGGTGACACCCGGGTGAAATAGCTTGGCACACTTCACTTAAATGAAACGTTGACGTGTGATGAATTTATTCAAACTTTGTATACGCCCCTGAAGACGGTCATGTACAAAGAGGTCAAAAAGGCCCTGTTTGTCGTATAAATCAGAGGTTCCCCAAAAAATTTTTGTTCGCCACAGAATAAGGTCCGTAATGACAAGCGTGGATGCTTTTCTGTCATTGAATATTAAGAAATGATTGTCATCACACATTTTAAGCTTGTCAAGTTGTAGTGTTGTTCAATTGTAGTGTTTTAATTGTAGTGTTGTTCAATTGTCGTGTTGTTCAATTGTAGTGTTGTTCAATTTTAGGGATTTTTTTCCCTCAATTTTAAAGTTGTTTACTTGTCAATTGTAGTGTCGTCACAAATTGCAGTGTTGCCGAACTGTAAGGTTGTCAAACTGAAATATTGCTTTTTGTGTTATGTATGCTCTTTGATATCGTCGTTTATCCAAACTATCTGCGACCGTGTGTGTTTCGGATAACACTTTTTTTAATTATTATATTATATTTTGTGTGTGTGTGTGTGTGTGTGTGGATAATATAACGCTTCCACAGAAAAGTTGTGTTAAGAGAATTTAGAGCATAGAGTAAAATATATCCCTACATTATTGTGTCGTATGTTATTTACAGTAATAATTAACACTATATCGATGTCATCTGATTGATGTCGAAAATCCGACAAGGACTTGTCATTTTTTTTTTCTAAGAAAAGAGCTCGTTTTCCCCCCAAAAAAGTTGAAGATGACTGTCTCTTTTAATAAAATCCGATGCCACTTTGTCTTTGTAGAATTGTATTCTGCGTTATATATTAATTACCAAGTTTTCAGGCCACGCTATCCCAGTCCGCACGTTTCTAATCTTTATTTTTGAGACCAGGGCCGGAAATAGTTTTCCAAAACTTAAAAAAAAAAAAAAAGCCAATATTCCATACCATGCGCATTGCATACGTGTAGAAAAATAATTTTTAAAAGATAAGGGGCATTTTGGGTAACCGACGCTACACTCCACCCAAGAGATGTTCATGATTGTGATACTTTTTTTAACACCGACTTCTTTGACTCAACCTTTTCAAACTTCACAATTCCCATTCCAACCTGAAAATTCTAATTCCAGCTCATAAAGTACGTCATGCTATTTTTAAAATTGTACAAGCCTTGTCGTAATCTGTCAGAAATCTCACACAGCCCCACCCCCCCCCCCCCACAAAAAAAAAAAAAAAAGAAGAAAAAGAAGAAGAAGAAAAAAAAAGGAATCTTTTTAGAACACTAACAAACAAGTTAAAATATAAGCTAAAACATACCTCACTCCTAAACTGCAAACATCGATTACATACATAAAAATAAATAAAAAACAACAAACAATAAATTAAAAAAAACAACTAAAAATCAAACATAACAACTGAATCTTTTTAAATCCTCTATATTAAGTTAATTAACTTCGCTTTTCTCAGTAGCTGGCTGGGAAAATTTACGGACGGCTAATTGACCCACTTCCCATCAACCTATCGAGCTGAAACTAGGCCCTTAATTTTAAACTGGTTGCTGATGACAACACATTCTATCAAATTTTCAGCCCACCCACAAAATATCAGTTTTTTTTCTTATATTTTTCAAGGGGAAGATGAAGGAAATACGATGACACTGATTTCCCGAAATAAAATTTCCGATAAATGCACTAAATGAGGTGAGTTTTGTGCGTAATATGTTCTTTTGTTTTCTGAGATAGTGAGTGAAATAAATCTGCGGTGTAAAAGCGGGTGGGTCATTAGAATATTAATTCATTTCAGGGGCGTGAACAAAATGTGCGGTTGCGAGCCTCGGGGATGGTGGGGGTAAGCACTAATTGGGATTCTTATTGGGTGCATTTAGTATGAATGTTAAAAAAAAAAATTCACCCACACCCCACCATTGCTCGATATTAAATTTTATGTTTTTTTAAGGGTTGTAAAAATTAAAAGGTCGGTTGACTTGATGACGTCATTTGCTGAGCTCTAGAGTCATTTTACCCAAAGCATTTTTCCTCTCTATAAATTACTGGGTCCAGTTTACTTACCCCCCACCCCACTCCTTTATTTTCTGAACATTGACTGTTCCAGTGTTCAGGGTCGTTGCGGTAAACATAGGATCATAATCGGTTACGCCCCAACTCTCTCCCAACCCCTTACGGTCTCGGCTAGGGTTTCACTCTCGCGTGATCAAAGGGGGTTATTGAGTGGTGAAGGTTATTTATTATCAAAAGCTAGACCTAGGCAGGATTTATGGTGTGATAAGGTTGGGGGGGAGAGGTCCCGGAAGAAGTGTGGAATCAGTGGCGTAACTGCCAGGGTATGTACTGTGGGGGTTGGGGGCGCTGGAGAGCTTATATGTGCTCGACCCATGACAAAGGGTAAGTACGTACTTATTGTACACATTCCTTTTTCCGTGTCGAGGTGAGTAACTCAAAACGACAATTCAAAGGTCGATAAAAGGAACAGATCTTCTATCTTTCCGAACTCTCCTCTTTGTAGGATTTGTTTTTAAGTTAAAAAAAAAAAATAAGCAAGAGACGATATGAAAAGTCAGTATTTTATTGCATTATCACAGAAATACAGGCAATTAATAACAAAATAATAGCAACAGTTTGTGACGTGGCTTCTCATATTACGCACACAAATCTTGCCGAGACGACAGAAGCACCTAGCACACATTGAACACAAGTATACTGGTATAGAATGGTAAAGCTGAATGAAATGAACCACACAAAATAACCAACAGGTCTTTACCCCCCCCCCCCTTTTCCTCGACAACATTTGGGCTTTATGAAACCATCATGACTGTCTAGAGATTTCAGTTAGCTGTACAAACATGATTAAATTCTGTGGTGGTTTTTGGCATTTTCAACTAGTTTACAAAGGAGTGTACAGTCCTAACCCATGGGAGTAAAAGGAAAAAGGAGGGGGGGGGGTTGTCTCTAAATATTTTGTGAAGGGGTGAATGGTTAATATTTTTTTAAGAGGCTTAGTGCAAAGTGTCAAGCTTACTTTTGGGGAGGGGTGTCATTTTGAGGAGGCTTAGGGCAATGTGTCAAACTTAATTTTGGAGAGAGGGTGTCATTTAGAAGAGGCTTAGGGCAATGTGTCAAACTTACTTTTGGGGAAGGGGTGTGATTTTGAGGAGGCTTAGGGCAATTTGTCAAACTTATTTTTGTAGAGAGAGGGTGTCATTTTGAAGAGGCTTAGGGAAATGTGTGAAAATTACTTTTGGGGAGGGGGTGTCACTTTGAAGAGGCTTAGGGAAATGTGTGAAAATTACTTTTGGGGAGGGGGGTGTCATTTTGAAGAGGCTTAGGGCAATGTGTCAAAATTACTTTTGGGGAGGGGGTGTCATTTTGAAGGGGCTTAGGGCAATGTGTCAAATTTACTTTTGGGGAGGGGTGTCATTAAAAAAAAAAAGGCTAATCAGTGGCACCAACCTGCAAAGTGAGGGGGCCACATGTTCCATCATTTCATGGGGAGGGAGTATAAAAGAGAGTTCTGCATGATTCACAACTGCCTAGCATCACGCCAACGCAAAGTTAAAGGAGTTTCTCATACTGTTCCAACATAGCCTTTGATATTTCAAAGAATATTAACATGAACAATCCACATTTAGCTCACAGGCCATTAACAGAAGAGGCTGCTGGCCATTGTTGGCCACCCCTTTCCCAAACTGTACACCAGCCATAGATCACTAGAAATTAGGCCAAAATTTTACTGGTATTACCCCTGGCAGGACTTGCAACTATTACACTGAGAAAACCATTTGAGGGATACTGAATTGAGGCTACACAAATATTACAGTAGCAGTGCCATAAAAATACAACACGAAGGGTTCACATCCCAGGTGAAGTACAACAACACTGAACATAAAATATTTAATATTTACATTATTAACAAAGTCATTCCAAAAGAAAATAAGGATTGAATCATGATGTCTTGGGTAAGAAACAAGATGTTGTCTTTCTCAAAGACATTTCTGTATTACCCAAAATAAAAAATAAAAACTGACATCATCAAAGTAAGCCAGGGAAAAAGAGACACACAAAAAGTTGAGTAACTCACATGAAAAGTCAAGTTTAAAAAAAAAAAAAAAAAAATTAACAATAAATTAAAAAAAAAAAAAAAAAATATCTTGGGTAAGAAACAAGAATTTGTCTTTATAAAAGAAATTTCTGTATTACCCAAAATAAAAAAAAAAAACTGACATCATCAAAATAAGCCAGGGAAAAAAAGACACACAAAAAGTTGAGTAACTCACATGAAAAGTCAAGTTTAAAAAAAAAAAAAAAAGAATTTAGCGATAATTTAACCAAAAATAAAAACGTTTTTAAGTCTGATGCAATTATAGCAAAATTTATAATTACATGTTTGAAACCCTTAAATTAAAAAATAATAAAATGCAGACATTTGATGATTAAATTTTTACAAAGTTTTAACTATACATATATATTTTTTTAAAGAAACTTTAAACCAGTTTTTTCTTCAGATTATATCATTTGGCAAAAATTTCTTTCAATAACTGAATTCACACACCTTGCCAGAAATGAAACACCATTTCTTAAAACAATTTTAAACAAACAAAAACAAATTATAATGCCATAGGCACTCCCAATCTGGAAATTATTTTTATGTAGAGCAAGGCATAAAGGTCAACCTTGTCGTGAGCCCAAACAACGGTCCTGTTTACGACTAGATAAAAAAATATGAATGAAACAAACAAAATTTAACAACAGTATTAGTTTTTTTTCCCTAAAACTAACAATTCTATCTTAAATGGTTACAAAAAATTAAATTAAAGCTTCCCGGATATTAATAGCAATGTAAGTTAATGCTGCGGTTTTCACCACTTACGTTGAGCGGAGACGAAATCCCCACAAGAAAGAAAGGACAAGAAGCCAGAGGTATCAACAAAAATAATTTAACAACAAAGCTGTCAAAGGCAAAGCATTTGGTTCATAGGCTATCACGTCTTTTGGTTTCTGGAGATTCTTATGGTTTAGCCAAAATGCTATTTGTACAATCAACTTTAAAAAAAATTGAAATTCTGTGCAAATGAACTCCAAATGGCAACTATGAAAAAATCATTATCGCTGGTCCCGAAATTCTATAATGACTCAGTCATGTAAATTAGATTGCAATGGCAGTGATTCATTGTTAGTATGAAATAACATACTATTTTTTTAAAAAAAGAGGTTAAATATCGAAACAACTAAAAGGTACTGCAGCATTATTTCTACAATAAAGTGTTCTTTTAACGTGGAAAAAAAAAATTTGCTGGAGATTTTAGGTGACTTAAAATGTAGCAAAAGATTTGAAGAGAAGCTAAAAACTAGTAAAATAAAAATCTTACTCAATAGAAAGCAGATTGCCTAACTCATAATAACTAAGCATATGCAAATGCATACATATCCATTTTGAAATAAATATATTTACAAACACACATATCAAGCACCATGCCCCATATGAAACTTTTTCCCAGAGCCTGGAATAATCATTGTTAAAACAAAAAGTTTTAATTATTTAATGAAATACCAGCAGTATTTCTTTGTCAAAAAGTACAAGACATAAAATGAATTGACAAAAAATATATAAATAAATAAATACTATTAAATATATGCCTCAAGCAGTGGAAATAGGGACCCACAGCTTTTAAAAAGGGAAAAAAAAAAGGGGGGGGATTTTAGATTGATAAAATAAATAAAGAATTAAAAATTGTAAGGCATAACTGAAATATTTGATGCTCATCTGCATTTAAAAACCCCATTCATGCCTTAGCTGATATGGTCCCTAGAACAATTTATACTATCAGATGATTAAAAAATTTGAGGAATTAAACTTTGTAAAAGGGGGACATGTCAATAAAAAAGTTTTTTAAAGTATGCTGTCACTTACATTTTAGAACCCTTTTACAAATAATTCAAAATTTAATAATAGGTCTTATTTAACAATGAAAACTGTCAAACAATCAAACAACACAGCTTATATTTTTATAAACCTTAAAGCCACAAAAATTCAAATTATCTGAATAAAAAAAATTAAATTTTTAATTGAATACGATTTATGGTCTGAATTTAATTTTTTTTACAATGACCAAATCTGAAATTAACATCAGATTACAGTAAAAACCTTTTTAACAAAATGGGTGTTATTATTTTTTTTAAAAAAGGTTCTAGTTTTAAAGCAGGAATTAAATGAAAATTTACTGGCTACACCATGACTTCACATACAAAAGAAAAGGGAGAAAAAAAAGATTGGTGTTAATTGTAAAAAAAAAAAAAAATAAGTAAAATAAAAATAAATATATAAAAAGTGTTATGACAAAGAGGAATATTGATATGAGGGGTTTGAAAAAAAAATTGTGACAAACTCAGGCACATACTAGCCTCAATTTAATCCCTTCACAATTTCACAAGATGACTCTTATGCAACAACATGAATGACACCCCTAGCTGTTATGGGTTTAAAGACAAAGAAAATATTTATCCTCCTACTGATCATTTTGGACATAAAGAATATTTTTTCAACACAAAACATAAAAAAAAAATTATCAGTCATCACAGTGAATGCAATCTTGTAAAAGATCCCAAGAAGCAATAAAACCAATTCTAATCTCTTCTCATTTACTCCAGAAATGCTATAAAAGACTTAAGACATCTAAAATGGATTTTAATATTATAATATTAAAAAACTGATAGGATCAAGAAATAAATTCTTCCGACATCTAAATGCACAGCTTTAGCACCTATTGAAAAATTTACATGATAGAATTGTTTGTCCACTAGTGTTACAGTTAAATTGCAACAATTCTGTTCATAGCATCACAGATGATTAATGAAAAATAATAATACAGTGAACTTTTGTTCCCACCCATCCTCTTATTGCAATAGCCTTCACTAGATTAAAAAAAATAATAGTATACAAATTGTAAATTTTAGTAAAATAAAAAGTAGAATGAACATGTCAATCAACATGTCAAATAAAAAAAAAATTACTTAAACAATAGATAATTATAAAAATTATTGAATTTTTTTTTAATAAGCTGGCATTATTTGTTTGATTAAAAAAAACCTAAAACAACTAGTACCACCAAGGATTTTATGCCCTTTTTAAAAATTGTATGTGCGTTATAAATAAAACAAAACATGGACACCACACATAAGATTAGCTTAAAACAGAATAATAAGAGGTTTAGCACTAGAGTTAACAACAAATCATACAATAAACAAATGTATACAGTTATGCAACCAAAAGCTTTGTAAGTTCATCCAATAGATTATCTCACTTAAATAATATTATTTTAAAAATTCAATTTACTTAAGCTTAAAGTTCACACTCTTTAATAAAATACCTTTTAAAAAAATTAATCACAATGTGTACAAATAACATTTAAAGCAAACACAAAAAAATAAATGAAGCAGTAAATAGTTCAAACCCCCACATTTCTTCCAGAGAGGAAACATCTTTTCACACAACCACAAGCAAGTCAAGACACTCAATGCACACATAAATGCCCATACACCTGATTTCTCTAATAAAAAGACAACTACTAATTTATTCAAATACCTTGTCTTGTACAACAGCATGAAAAGATAACATTCTCTCGAGCACCAACAGCTTTTTACAAGAACAATATGCCCCCCCCCCCCCCCAACTTTTTAAAATCTTATTTTCACTATGACACAAAAATATTATTTTCACAATGAGACAATAAGATCAAGGTGGCTTCATTCAATACAATGCCAACAACACCAGCCCTTGAAGTTTTTGACTTTATATAAAAAAAATCAATGAATCTAATATTTAATTCAGTAAAAAAAATAATGATCTTTTCAATGACTCTGAATTAATGATAAAGTAGAAGTGACAGGTAACATAAACAACAAACATAAAAAATTAAATGTTAGCTTGACATTTATCTAGGGTTATAGATGTTGTATTTTGCCTTTGCCTTGTGTACTGTTGTTAGACTCAACCATGACAAATCTATACTAACTTATTGTTTAAGTTTTAAGGACATTCTGAAACACGGCTGATCACAGCAAACTATCCATTTTGTCTTTTTAGATTGTCCTTTTTTTCCCCTCAGTACCTACAACTCGCATTAAACTTAAATATGTTTTATTAGCATATTATGTTGAAGTATAATTTTTTTTAAAGCTACATTTGCCTATTTCCCACTGATGACAATAAGGAATTTATTATTAGCTTTAAATTTATATAGTTTTGCAAGATTTTTTTTTGTTTAGTACAGGGCTGGTTGAATTCCATTCATGACATGTTGCACACTTGGAAATAAATAAATTTACATAAAATACCCACTAAACACCAATTTTGATTAAATTGGGACAAAAATTGATTAAAATTTACCTTTTGTAAAAAAAAAATATTGATGTATCATGTCCATCATTATGTCAAGTTATATGCATATGGTAAGAAATGATTTTAAAAAAATGAAAATATCATCTGTTGTTATTGCTGTCATTTTCTGTCTTGGGGACCACCACTGTGCTGTTGTTAACTGTCTGCTGTGAGACAGCCTGAGGCCTCACCATAAGCATAAATAGTCCTTGAATTTTCTCTATGTCCAACTCTTTGACTACGAGCGCATTGCAGGGTTGCTGGAGGAGGCCGTCCCAGTCTACAACCATCTGGCCACGGGTTAGCTGACCTGAAAGCTCAACAGTACAATACACGGGTTCCGCACTCAGGACCACTGACCTGTCTATGACTAGTGACATGCAGTAGCCGTCACATGAACGGTAGCCTTCTCTGCCAGCAGCCCTTCCTGGTTTTGCAGACTCTAGGACAGATCTTCGCACAAAATTGGATACATTGCTGCCTGCGTTAGTCCACATGTCAAAGAAATCCTGAAAGAGTAACAGTGTCAAAGATTGCCATAACTACCTTAAAAAAAAAGAATCAAGCTTTTACTTCACAAAGTTACAAAGTAAATAATTTACATGTTTAAAAAAAAAAAAAAGTCTAACCTTATTTATTTCTAAATATTATTGTTACTATTAATATTATTGTTAAATTTAATAATAATGGAAATAGCATTTGTCATAAACTAACAAAAAGCTGTTATATGACCGAAAATTATTTATTAACATCTTTAATTACAAAATTACTGTCCTGATTTTATATTAATTGTGAAGGACAACCACCCTAAATTCCAATATTTAAACCTATTTATAAAAAAAATTCTGACATGTAAAGAAACTAAAATTGGGAATGACACTGTCAACCCTATTTATAAAAACAAAATCCTGACATGTGAAAAAACTAAAATTTGGAATCACACTGTCAAATTTAAGAAATGTAAGAATAGTATTAATGGTCTGTTGGGGGTAACAACTTATTATCTTCAAATGTTGCAAGGTTTATTAGTAAATGAAATTGAACAATGCTTATTTTGTTCATTCTAAATATATTAAATATTAAGTCCAATATCCAATATGACTCTGAGAGCACACCCTCTTCAGATGAATACAGCTCTAAAAAAAAATGTGTCCTGATCAAACAGATAAATCCTAATGAGGATATCTTCTAAGTTGGGACATGATCCTCAACCCTGTGCAGATATATATTGGCGGGAAGGGGAAAGGCATTTAGAAAAATGGAAAGTGAGGAAACTAAACAAAATGTAAAGCGATTAAGTTTATTAATTGCCATTTCAATGTCATCAACTCAAATCATAACATATCTCATAACAACGTGTTATGGTTGTCTTTATATCTCAGAGGTGACTGGACATTAAAAAACAAAACCCCCACACGACTTAATAAAGAATATATTTTTACAATCTGCATGCTGAATAGCATTTGTGCCCCACTTCTGAAATGAATCAGCTTGCTTATCTTTTCTTACCCATGGTAAATGAAACCTTCTGCACACTTCATAGGGTAGGATAGTAATGTTAATGAATTCTTTGAGAACCACCTGTGCTGCCTCAGGGTCGTTGTAAAAATTAAACTCCGCACACGTGCTAATACGTCCACGAGCTGGAAGGGGAAAAAAAAACCACCATGGTACATGTAATGCATTAACTTATTTCACGTCCACTAGGTCCTTATTTAATTTAGCACAAAATCAGTTTTCAAAAATAAAAAAAAAATGATTGCTTTGTACCACTTTTCTTTTAACTTCATATAAGCAATGTGCATTAAAAAAACAAACACAGGCATTGTTTCAGGTTGAGTATTACATTTGACTATTTCTATCCGAGGGATTGTGAAATGCTACAGAGCTGAAACTAGGCCCCATGCTCGGTTAGGGAGTTTAAAAAAAAAAATCTATCAAAATTAGTTGGATGTAATTGTAAAAAAAATAAATATGTGAAAAAGAATTGAAATTACAAGAAAGCATGTTTGGTGGCAATGCATACCAAACAATAACTTCTGATAAAGACCAGTGCATTTAAACACCAGAGCAGAAATGTGAAGAAACGACCTTCTCCACTTTTCAATAATTAATTGAAAAAGGTGGTGATTAAAAAAAAACATGTCAAAACTAAACATCCACATTAGGCGCGCACAACCACCCCCCCATTTGAAAGAAAAATAAAATGTACAAAAAGTTTTAGTGCTATCCCAACACACATATTAAAATTTGAGATAAAAGATGTTACACATAACACATTACTTGATTCATTGTAATATTATCACCTTCAATATTCCCTCCCATGATGTAGAGATCTTTGATCTTTCTGCCAACAGTAGAATCCAACCTCATGGCTAAGGCTAAGTTAGTCAGGGGAGCTAACGCAACGACAGTAACTTCTCCTGTTAAATTTTTAAAAGCAATAATAAGTATAGGTTTTTATTACTCATATTATTTTATCATATATATATACACAAGATATATAGATTTATACATGTATTTTACATATATACATAAATATTTAAATATTAATATATATATATATANTATATATAAAATGGAAGAAAATCCAGTAAACGGCTCAAGTCATATGTGGGTTTGGGTATTGAAATACAAATCGAAACTATCCATGAAAATGTATCATATCATTACATTTTACTCAACGGGTTTATGTTATACATTTTCCACTGATAACTATTTTAAAGTCTATTATAAATTGTAGTAAAGAATTAGAAAAATTCTTTAAACACAATCAGGCAGTAAAAATATTTTAACTACGACGTTTGCATTCTTTCAACTTGAAAAGTTTCCATCTGCTGTTAGCGATTTCTTAAGTTGGTGCTGATTGTATGTATATTGCTGCAATCACCTGGATAATTGTTGATAATCCTAATCATGGCATTGGCTGCATGTTCGGGTTGAATTGCTGAACAGTCAACAGGTGTGTTCCAAGCTTCCCCACTGAAATTCTCAAACTGGGATGTGTTCCCCAAAAGGGAGCATTCGGCACCCCTGTAAACAGGGATCTGTAAACAAACACATAAAAATCACCATGACCTCATGTTTACAATACCCCTGCCTCCTTTAAGCTAGAAATACCTTCATCAAGAAAGAGTTTTAAACAGATGGAAAAGTTTAATTTAAAGAAAAAAAGAAAGAAAACAAGACTCCCAACAGTTTTGGGGAGAAGTAACATCAGTATCAGGGAGAGTTACATGACATTAGTGTAAGTTGGAAGAATCCTACCCTCCGCCCCAACTTCCCATCAGCTTAAAATGAAAACTTATGAAAATCATATGATTACATTTTTTTTTTTTAATTTAAAAACCACCCCCCCCCCCCCCCCCCTTTCTGTTTTTAGAAATATATTTTTAAAAAGAACTATAAACAACATTTTTATTTTTTATAGTACAGGCAGTCACATTTGTGGGCTAAGCTACTTGTATCAACTTACCTCGACTTTGTTACAGGCCTTCAAAACCCTTAAAGTGTTTTCACAAACAAGGTCGACATTGACATTGCCATTAGCACAAGTAATGGCCAGGATCTCCACATTAGGATGGGCCAGTGCCAACATGATGGCATGGGAATCATCAATCCCTGTATCAACATCTAAGATAACTTTAAGCTAAAAAAAAACCAAATATATATACACATTTAAATATTTAAATTTAAGCATATTTATAATATTACAAACAACAATAATGATTTATTTTAGTGACTGAAATTTTGAGATAAATTTAAGATATCCTATCTTAATCCTATTTTATCTTATCTTAATCTTAGTTTTATTGTAATATTATCTCAATCGAGGTCAAATTTATTTGAGTCAACAAAGAAAAGATTCATTTTGTCCCCATCAATCACCAAATCAAATTTTAGATTTTTCTCAACATTGCCATATGGTGCATATTTGATAAATAGGATGAATACATTATTGTTAATAAGGGACTCTTCAATGTAGTCCCTTTTTTTTTAACACTATGTTAACAGCAAATAGACCAGCTTACTTGGGAAATAACTTATTACTTCCAAAAGAGAGCAAAGAGAAAAGCTACTTTCCAGGGTGCAATACATCATGGGACAAAACTTGCCCAATGGCATGTAGTAGCTGGCCAGCTAGAGAATTTACCTTTCTAGTTTTGGCGGCCCCGCCCCCCCCCCCCCCCCCCCCCCCAGGTTTAATTCTGTGTAGCACAGCCACAAATTCTCTTATAGCCAAGACTGGACCAGCCAAAGGTATTTTCATGTGTCTCTTAAAAATTTAGAACAAAGAAAATATTTCATATTGGACGTTGACTAAATCTTAACTCATTGCTTCCATAGGTGACACACAAGTTTTGAAGAGTTCTTCCTGAAATAAAAAGTTTACACAAAAATTTCAATACATAAAAAGAGGAAAGACAGATTCTCCCTCCTACCTTGGGATGTTTAAAAGAACCATTAGAGAATAATTTAGTTGAAGGGTTGGTAACTGCATTTGGTGAGTACTCAGAAGCTCCTGTAAACTTCAGGGGCTCTCCTAAAGAGTCATCCAAGCTATCCTCAATTTTTATGTCACTGGACGCCATCAAGTCATCATCTTCACTGTGTGGCGAAGAGCTTGAAGTTATCTGGGTTTGTAAAATCATTTCCATTATAAAGTGTTTATTTAAACAGCATTAACACATTTTAAAATTTTCCCATGGAATTTAACTAACTTTGTTAGAGCAAACTGCTGGAATTAATTAATGCACATTTTACACACAGAGTTACATTTGTACCAAAAAAAATGGGTATTTTCATCATTTTTTGGGATAAAATGATTACTTTTTTCCTCAGGGCAAAAAAGACTTCTATAAACATTGCCTGCAATCTTTATTCTGCTTATTCCAAGTGTAAAAACTATCGAACATCATCAATCTTTAAAAAAGATATGTTTTGCATAGAACATAAGACTCAAAAAAAAAAAAAAAAAAAAAAAAAATTAAAAAAAAATTTGTAACAAAACAAAAAAATTAAATTTGATTTAAATTTTTTTTTTTGTTTTGCAAAAAAAAAAAAACAAAAAAAAAAAAAAAAAAAAAAGAAAGAATTTAAAACTATTTTGTGCCACTACTACTAATTTAAATTTGCTACTTTAAAAAAAAAAAAAATGATGTTAAATATAATAATTGCAATATTCTTAAAAAAGACTAGCATAAAAAAACCAACAGATTTAATAACAATTAAGGCATACCATTATCATTATTTTATAGTACCTTCTGTGAGCTTTGAAAGATAAAAACAATAACTAACCTCATCTGTTTTTTCAATTTCTAGTTCTGGGAAGTCAATTGGGCCATGGTTATGTTTGGGGGTAATGGAGACAACTCTCAGCCTCTGGCCATCTTGTGTGCACCTAAATTTAATTTGGTAAGGACACCTCTGCCGCATTGAACGAAGTTCATCTTTCTTTTCTCTCCCTCCATAAACACAGCAATAAAGCAGTTCATTATATTTTACTTCTGGGTTGAAGATCCTCTTTGGCATCCTTTTGATTGCAGCAGCTATTGTGCGGGTGTCTCTTTTCCAGAGTTTAAATTTCTCTTTGTCTTGGAGCTCCTGAATCTTCTGCTCAACTTCATCATATGAGATAAATTCATCATCGACATTTATTATAGACATTTTAAGACCCTAAGAATTACCCTAAAGAGTTCCCTCACTATGATTGAATCTCCCTTCAGTTAAATCAATGCAGCAATAAAAAAGTAAACTGACATCCTCTGCTTGACTGGTATCCGCTTTTAAGGGGTTAAAAAACCTGAAAGAGAGTTAAAAAAAAACAACTAAAATTTTAGAAATTATTTCTTTATTTTATTTACTTAATTAAATATGACAATTCAGCACATATATTATATTTCCCATCATTTCATTACATGGCAAAAAGAAATAATTAAAAATTGTATACTACATAAGGGAATTGTTGTCTTTACCAGTATAAAGACTTTTAACAAAATCTATATACTGGTAAAGACATCACTTTCCTTATTTTATGTTAAATAGCCATTTTGTAAGGCTTATAGAAAACCTGAAAAGAATATTAAAAATTTTTTTTAAGTTAGGCTAATAAAAAAATATCTTGAAAAACTAAGATTGTAATATGGCTTGCTGATGTCAGCCAGGAAAGAAAGGTGAAAAGTTTCCCCAATAAACAGTACCAGTAGCTTTAGCTCCCAAATTGTTTTGTTAATTTTCTGTTCTACTAAAATAAAATTCAGGTTTGGTTTCTCATTCTATGAGGTGTGTTAATACTTTGCATGGGATTTATAAATGAGCATACATGCCAACATGTAGGATCAAAAACTGTACTGGTACAAAAACTCCAAACAAAACTGTACAGACAAAGTGAAAGGTAAAAATTTTTAATTTCATTACCAATATTTTGAATTTGAATGCATGCAAAATTTGCCTTCTTGTAAGCTCAAACATAAAGCATAATTTTTAATTTTGCAATAAAAATTTTATGCGCTTGCAAAGAAATTTGAAGAAAAAAAACAAAAAGAAAACAAGTCATTGTAACTTCTTCATCAGATCGATTATCTACATCAGGCCTGCACAACTCAAACTGTAAGGCGGGTTGTAATACTTTATGAAAAACTTGTGCAGGCCAAAAAAAAAAATTGGGCAGGACTTGGGCAGGCCAAAGTAAATAGGACGGGGGAAAAGCTATTAAGGAGAAAATAAAAATAATTAATATTTCGTTACTTCGCGGGCCGCAAAGTGGGTGGCGGGTTGCATGTTGTGCAGGCCTAATCTACATGATGATGGTTGAGAAAAAAAGTATTTAACAGAGGTGGAATCTCCCTTCATTGCCTCAAAGTTTCGTTTGTGCAACTATTATGTTTTAAAATGTGCTTCAATTTCACATTAGTAGCCAGAAGTAGGCACATAAATGTCTTATTTGAAAACTAAATGAGATGATCCGATTAATGAAGCTTCAATAATTCCAAGGTTACCACTCAGGAAGAAACTTTCCCCACATGCATGTCTCATTTCAACTTAAGTTTCTTTATTTAAAAAAAAATTAGATTAACTCACTTTATTGGAAGTTTCCAGCTAAAGTAAAATAATAAATTAAAAAAGAATACAATATCAATTATTACTGATAAGGGTCTTAAATAAAATATTATTTGGCCTACGAATACAATGAAGAAAACTTTAGTTTTAACAATTATTAACATGTTAAATTAAACCAGGCTGTGGTGTAAAAAATAATAAAAGACAAAACTCCTAATAAAGCTGTTCATTGTTAGTGATATTGAATTTATTTTATTATTTAATAGACGTTAAAATAACAATAACATGTAACGACACTGCAGTTTTTACTAAAATTGTTGCACAAACGGATTTCTAATTAAGGTTCACTACACAAAGTAGCTACTATCCTAAGGATTCCTGTAATAGTTACAGGTATATTATGTAGATACTGGTCAAACCTCACTCAAATTTTTTGTTTAGATGGCCTACTGATCCAAACACGAGGCAAAAGGTCATTCTGAACCAACGAAAAGGATTTAAGCTTCTTTTTGACCTACGACGCATTTATAATTCTTGTTTTGAGTGCAAATAAAAATATAATTTTTCTCTAAATCCTTGAAAAACCATCCATTCTTAATCCTGTCTGGCCGTAGCGGTACATCTTTTAAAAATTCCTAAAAACTGTAGGGTACAGATTAGCATATATTTAAGTAAACACATTCACAAGCATTAAGAAAAGAAAAACACTTGTAGTCCACTTATTAGCCTACTTCAGCAAACATAGCCTCACCACAAAATTCTTTATCAGTCTTTATTTTATCTCACAACATTTACAATAACTTAGCACTTATCGGTGTGATCGTGTCATCATCAATTTTGATCTACCTTTTTCCAATTTATTTAGGCTTGGTCTTAGTGTCAGTGGTCTACAGCCTATACTATATTATTACGATTTCTACGCAGAAATTAGGATTATCATTAATAATATCAAGCCATGCATTTGCTTATTCATGCATATTCACCAAGGGCATATAGTATATAGCCTTGGTCAACTTTGCATCGCAGCATGCGAAGAATGAACAATAATATCAATGACCGTCGATAGATAAGTAAAAGTAAAGGCTCTATAACTATAATATTAGTATTACAACAATGTATCTCTATAACTTAACTGAGGTCATAATAATAATGATACTTCTAGTTCTATTCATATTACTTTTACAGTAAAAGGATTGGGAATAAAATATTTTTAAGCAGGCCTCCTATGCCTATACTATTATACTATACTAGCATTATACTCATTTAGTTTTAGCATCATAGTAAGTATTTTGTTATTGATATCCCAGTGGTCAGTCATTTATGCAGCCGAAAAATATACATTCAAACTTCAGCTGACATTCATCATAATTAATGATAATGGGTCACAGACAACTACAGAATTATTAAGTTCCCACTTATGACTTATGGCCCTGGCAAGGAAGGGGGTTGTTGAAATAGCGTTCATTTTACATAATTTTCATTTGGCTATGCTTGAGTGCATTGCTTTAGCAATAATGTTTTCAAATTATGTGTGCATCTGTGAACTTGTCATACGGTATACTTATGCTCACAAAGTTTGTTCCTAAATTGAAGAAATTGTACAAATGACACATGATGACGATTTCCAGATAAGGCTTTATAAGAGCCGGAAATGGTAGACCGGTCGACCGGTTTTTTTTCCGGTTTCCGGTCTCGTGATATTAGCTTCAGAAAACAATACCTTTCACTTGTCTAGCCTCATAATTTCAGTGATTCCAATTAACATTATTTTTCAGATTTAAATTTAATTGAGAACCAGATGATTTGACGCAATCAGTTGGTAAATATTAAGTTCCACGTGCTCGTTTACTTTATATTCAATATTGCATCTAATCCAACAAATTTATTAGCGATGGACAGTAAAATATTTTTGTAAAAGAAGCCTAGTGGAAGCACACAATTATTTAAAAGACAAGTTTAGACGTTCGGCTAATCACTAATGTCTACATTAGTATAACCCACAACATTTTAAAAATTAACGTGACTGTAAATAATAATGTACTTACTTTAAATTTAATTCACATTTATGCATTTAAAAAAAAAAAGTTTTACTAAGGTGGCGTCCATTAATTATGTCAACGAAATAGTGGGGAGGCCCCGGGAGGGAGTTTGGAATTGTTTGACAGTTGTTAACAAGGGGAGAAAAAAAGTGTGTGGGGGGGGGTGGTTTAAGATTAGTTGACGTCAACAATCATGTTTTCTCTATTCAAAATTTAATCTTAAAAATTGATTGGTTATTACATTATTTTTAAAATTTTATAAGTGTTTTTTGCTGGCACCCGTCCGTCACAATGAGACGATGGACGAAATCCACATGGCCTGGGATTATACTTGAAGGATTATAAGCTGGTTCCCAACAGCAAATCGCCTCTCTCCACGCCGCTGGGTAACCCAAGGGAACATCATTGGATCTATGTCGAACCGTGGTCACTGCAGCGTCCTCAACAGCCTTACAATCATTGTATCAATGTTATCCGCCTTTCGGGACTCCATCTCCGGGTTTGATTTCAGAGTTTCCTTCTCTTAGATGAGTTGCCATCCAAGGTTAACGAGCCCCATCTACCCGGGGTGCTGGTGGGTTCTTGCTGGAATTGGACTCCAGACCATCAACTTGAGATTTGCTCAGTTTAGACCACTCGGCCACCCAGCACCTAAGTGTAAATAGTCATAATTTGTATGCGTTTAACAATATAAGATTTATTTAATGTGTGTCTGTTTGTACACTGCAGATGGCTGGTAAGAATGTTAGCACCCTTTGTTAGTGCATGAGAAGTCAAAAGTTGGCCTCTCTTCACCTGTAGATTCTGTTTGTCGCAAATGACTAGGGCGGTATGTTTGCGATTATGTTGCATGTATGGAACACGGTTCAAGTGTCACGTGCAGTCAAGATAAATCATATTGATAGAGTAGGAACAACGATATTTTTAGAGGCTGCATCTATAGGAACCTGGGTACCTATAATCGCCAGTGACTATTCGCACCCGGAGTGGCTCCGTACAGATTAATTGGCTTCGGAGCCGGGTGTGATAACAATAATAGTATTAGTATGTGAATTATTTTTTAAAAATTGTTTTTTCTCCTCGTTATTTCATAGATTCATAGTTTTATTCTTTTTAGTTTTTTTATTTTTTTATTTTTGCTTTGTTAATTTCTCTTAGGACGGGTAGATTTTTTTCTTTCTTATTTTGTTTTTTAGTTTAAGCCATTTTCGTAGATCATTTAAAAAAAAATAAATCTACTAATGAAGATGATTTAGATACATTTAATGTTTTCATTTGAATTTTAGAAAAGTAATAATATTAATTTCATCATTAAAATTAAATCCTTTATTTAAGATTATTTATGTGTATTGTTTAAGTTAAAAGATTTAATCACACAGTACTTTATGAATTAATTAGGTATTCTAAATAATGAAAATTTCATTCATAATGAATTAA